AATCTGGTTTGAACATGGATGGAGAAATGACATCGACCTCTACCAATCACACCTGGCCCATCTCAGTTTTGATAGGATTGTCCAAGGATAGACTGCTGATGTCCCAGGGATATATCAGTTTTAAAGCTCTATAGAGGGGGATGGGGTGAACGAAAACAGGGGCCCTTCCTGAACAAAATTGTTTCAGCTTTCTTGTTAATGGGCTGTCAATGATGGTTAAAATCTGCTGAGCTCTCAGCCCAGTTTTCTAAATCCTGATTCTCACATTTTTGAGTTGATAAAAGGAATTTCAACTCCTTTATCCAGTTACTGTTGTCTTTTTGCTTTTTTTCAGCTTTTTTTGGGAAAACATTGTAGACGTCCTCCCCTAAATTATATGACACTTTGTATGCCACTTTCCTCTTCTCTTTCACATCCACAGAGGGGCTTTTTGTGTACTTTTTTTGGGTGATGGGCTAGGGGTTTTGCTGGGTATATATAATGGCATTTTTAGGAAAGGACTGGGATCTCGATTGAGGGGGATTATTTTACATGTGGATGACATTGTTTGTGGATTGTGGTGAATGTAATGATTTTTTTAATCTGTGAGGGACAGAGGCGAAGGGGTGTGCTTCTTGTGTTTTTGAATTACTTGAGTTTTTCTATTTTTTCATATCCGAGGTCCTGTTTCTTTTTTACTCTTTGAATTTAGTTTTGTAAGAGGCTGAAACATCACCCTTAACACTTCTAGAGGGAGTGGGGCAGTATGTGCCTTTAGCCCTAGGAACTTCAGGGGACTAAGGTTTTGCTGTCTGGCACTTCCCTCTGACTCTACCAGCAATCAGCCATGCCTCCTCTCCCTTTTCCAAAGTCCCACTAGCGGGTGAAAAAGATGTGTTGGGGAATGTGGGCCCCAACTGGGGGTTTAACCACACTGGTCTCAGCCACTGGCATGCCCATTACAGGAAAAGCTTGACAATCAAGCATGATATTGAAACTCCATCTTGCATTCAGATTATTGGAGTTGGAGGTAGCATGTAGAATTTGCCATATTGGCAGTAGTAAACAGCTAGGTTCTTCCGATAAACTTGAATAAGGACCTCAGATACTGCTACAGGGCTCTCTGTCTGTCCTCATATTCAATTTGTATAATCAGGTCTTTTGTTATTAATTCATGGCTTACTGCATCCATGCAGTCCCCAAGCATGGGTAGCAATATGACCCACATGAAAAAACTCATTCTTGTTATAACTTATTGGGGCTTAACTCCCAGGGATGTCAGTGATTTGATTACTCTGTCTTTGTGGAGTGACAAATTTTGCACCAATGCTTGTCAACTATGAAGACTGACACAATTCTTTTTTCAACTTTCTGTAACTCTTGGGAGTCTTCCAAAGGGCCATCTTCTTTTATGGACATAACTTTTGGACCACTTCAAAAACTTTGCAATATTGGTTATACACCTAGCAAGAAGGTGATTCATCAGCCTTAAAATTGTCATTTTTCTTGCTATTTTGCTTTTAGGTTCCTCCATACATTTTTCAGTGTTCATATTTTGACCAATATTGGCTTCCATATTTTTAATATATAAAATATATTATTTTTGTCTTGGGTCTTTTCAAGAACACTTTCAGTATACTCATGGTTAGGTGATTTCATAGTTCTATCAGGCAAGTCCACCTTAGAAGTAAACCCAAAAAGGTTTTTCTTTATTGACCAATGTTTGTTGGTGATTATGATTTTAGGTTCTTCTTGAAGAAATTTTCTTTTTCTTTTCTATGCCAATCAAGAATTTCTTTTTAAAAGAAAAAAATGAAAACCCAAAAGGATAAAAGAAAATCCAGCCAAAAATAAAATTAAAAAAATTAAATAAATTTCTTCCACAAAGAGAAGAAATGAAACAAATTTAACCATATAAAACAAAAATTAAAAATTAACTTGACAAATAAAAATAAAATGGAAAACAGTCAAAATATGGTTTTACCAGTGAAGAAGAAGGTTCAGCATACAAAAAGTAAAAAGAACTAGTAAATTAAAAATTAAACAAAAAGTCTAATATAACTGTAGTATTGTATGCAAATTATATAGACAAGTATAGATAGAGAACAACTGGTAAACATAGGGTGGCTACATCTAGCAAACCCAGTTGCTATTCAGGACACGGAGTACTGTAATATGATTACTACTGCATGGAAGGATACATAATTTCACAAAATAAAACAACATAGAAAGATTTTTTAAATCTGAGAGTTATAACAGTAAAATTAAAAATAAAATCAAAGCATGTAAAAACAGAAGAGCTGAAAAAAAAAGAAAAATTTAACAGAGAAATTTGTAACAAGAACTTGTAAAAATAAAGGTTTGCCAAACAAACAAACAAACAAACAAAAAGCCAAAAGAGTACAGAAAATTAAACTAAAAAATTAAACAAGAAACAAAAAAATTAAAACAATATTCTAGTGCAACTAGAAGTTACACTAGAAAAAATAAAAGAAAGGCTTACAGTCAAGGGGCTGAAAAATAAAGAATGAAAAAACTAAGAAAGGAAATTTAAAAATTTCACAACTGAACAAATAGTCAAAATAAGTAAAACTTAACAAAAGCTTCGGTCAATGTCATTTTTGTGTAAATATAAAAGAAGCCAAAAGTATGCAATAGTATATTGATTAAATCATGTTAGATTAATTTGAAAGATAATGTCACACATTGAGCATGCCATGTAGTGGTGAAATCAGTAGATCATAGAATGAATTTATAAAAACTGCATGGGCATTTGCTGAGAGAGTCTGATAGAAAATGTCACAAATGTCTATGGGATTTGATTATAGTTCTGTACATCAGTGCTTCTTAAACTATCTGAGATGGCAGACTGGCATTTTTTTTCTCAATGTGTCACATACCTGTAATATTTTGTGGTAATATTACTGGAAACTGAATATAATAAAACTTGACTATTTTTTATCTTCCATTTATTTTGCAAAAAATAATTCAATATCAAAACATAAAAAGTAATAAAAAATAAGCTTCAAATGATTCCTTAGCATTGCCTGGACACTTGCCGGGTACTGGTAGCTGATGGTTCGCAGACCATCACTGGTCTGAGGACCACCACTTTGAGTAGCACTGTTGTAGATTATAAGAAATAAAAGCTTTATACCAGTGTAATTTATTTACTTATTTGTTAGAGAGAAAGTAAGGCTAATAATGATTTTCTAAGCCCGGCTTAGATGTGGCACAAGGCCGAAAGTATGGAGCACCCAGTGAGAATTGAACTCACTACTCAGTCGTAATTGATCTAGCAAGACAAGCTTTCTCACCATTACACCACGTTGAGGTGCTCAATAAGGCTAATAATTAAGACTTGAAAGAAATAGACTAAGTACTGTATGAGGAATTTGTTTTTTCTGCAATACAACAAATAGCAGCATTAGACAAAAGACCCCCCTCCAAAAGTTGTTTTGTGAGAAAGAAAGCATTGAGAAGCAGACTGCCAATTTATAAAGTTGTACAGGCCAGAGATAGGATGAGAACAGTTTGGGATTCATTAAAGACACCAGAACAAGGAATGCAATATTTATGCTCAGAATGTTATCAGTAAACAGCATGCATGTGTATAGGGAATGAGTTCAGCAAATATGCAAAAATAGAAAGGGACGTAAGGCAAGGATGCATTTTCTCACCTGATCTGTTCAACCTATACAGTGAGGGAATTCTGAGAGAATTGGAAACCCTACCAGGATTTAGCATTGGCAGCCACAATCTTAACAACATGAGATATGCAGATGACACAATACTGATAGCAGACATAGAAAAGAAATTTCAAAATCTCCTACAGAAGGTAGAAACGGAAAGTGAGAAGAAAGGGCTAAGCATAAACTGCAAGAAGACAGAATGCATGGCCATCAGTAAAAGGATGGGCCCAAAATGCAATTTGCAGGTTGGGAACACTAGACTCAAGCAGATGTGGAAGTTTAGATATCTGGGAAGTGTTTTGACAGAGGATGATAAGTGCAACACAGAGATCTGTAGATATATTGGGATGGCCAAGGACACATTCCAAAAGCTTTGCAGAATATTGAGAGACAGGAGGATTTCTTTGGTAACAAAGAAAAGAATACTGAGCTGTTATGTGATATCTGTCCTTCTTTATGGCAGTGAATGTTGGATGATTTCCTCAAAGATGAAGAAGAGACTCGAGGCAATGGAGATGTGGTTCTACAAAAGGATGGTAAGGATATCATGGAGCGAGCATGTGAGTAACGAAGAGGTCTTTAGAGATTATTCAAACAAGGAGGAGGCTTATACTTAACATCAGAAAGAGGCAGCTAAAGTTTCTGGGACACATAATGTGGAAGGAGGGCCTGGAGAATCTGATACTCACGGGTTGAATACAGGGAAAGAGAGACATGGGAAAACAATGTGTGACATACCTAGTGAACAAGTGGATGACAGAACATGATCTGGGGGAGGAAGCAGAGGGAAGGAACTTGTTTAGAACTGCAAGTGATAGAGGAAGGTGGAGAGCCATGATTGCCTATGTTCTGAAAGAACATGGCACATAAAAAGGAAGAACAAAATATAATATGGTGTTAGTGGCTTTTACCAAAGCAAATACTGATGTTTTGGACCGAGTTGACTAATAAGTGATAGTAAGTTTCAGTACTGTTTTTCATTACTGCATTTTGCAACACTTGAATCACATGTGACATTGTTACATTTTTGGTACATATTTATGAATGCTAATTGGCTTCATAGGACATGTATCATTGTCATAATGATATATATGAAGGTGTATCAATAAGTCTGTAGCCTGATATATAGTTTTTGCTGAATTTTGGTCCAAAGTTTTGATCCTTGTAATTAATATTCATCACTAAATTAACTACATTGACAAGATTGAACACCATGTTAAAAATGAATTTGTTGTGACCAAAACTACTTGATTTTTTTTTCAACATTAGATTATAAATTTGTTCATTTTACTATGTATAATTTTCTCACATTGTAACTTATTATTACAGATATTAATAATCCTGGGGCTTACGGAGCACATCCATTGCACTTAGCAGCAAAATATAAGCCTGAAAATATAAAGAAAACAGTAAACATCAATGAAAATGAAGAAGGGGGAGGAGGAGAAGGAGAAGAAGAAGAAGAAGAAGAAGCAGCTGAAGGAAATGAAGAAGTAAGTGTAAAAAATATAAGGTAAAATGTTGGCTTGAAAAGTGCTATGCTTTTGATTTGATATTGTAGATCTGCATCTAAGATGAATATACTGTAAAATATGAAGCTTCTTTCTTTATATTGATTTATCATTCAGGTAAGGATCTGATGTACAGATTGCATTGTTATCATTGCACAAATTGGAATCAGATAAAATAAAGTTCAGTTCAGAATTCCCTGTAGGTTACCTAGATTAAGGCACAATGGTCAGAATGTAAATAGTGTAAATAATGATAACTCCTTTACCAATGATTTTCAATACAGCACAGCTTCACAGATGTTAAGTAATATGTAACTACTTTCATCCTTTCTTGCAGCTTCTCTCCTAAGTATGATGATAAACTACATCCAGCAGCAAGGCTTCTGATTGGAAGATTTCAGGTTTCTTAACTGCTGTTGTTCACAGGTCCACCTTGACCTGGGGTGGTAGCACCTGTTAGGGTCCCAGCTATAGGCAAATAGTACCCCCACCAAACAAAAGTCAACACTACATTTTTATAATAAAGTGACCAACAATACATTTTTATAGCAAAATGAGAATCAGTGTAACACTAAATAAATATAAAAATACATTTTTATAATAAAATTACCAGCAATTCATTTTATGATCTACAAACTATATATCTAAAAATATACCTCTGTCCTGAATGTATAAAATTACGTACAAAATATCTATAGTGGTAAATGTGAAATTATGTACAAAACATTTAGATTTCTGAATTAAATAACCTATAGAGATTGATATGCCACTAAACAAAATCAACCAACCAACGATACTTATTTATAATAAAATTACCAACAATACCTATTTATAGTAAAATTATCACTAATACGTATTTAAAGTAAAATGACTAACAATACATTTTATCTGGAGTTGAAGGCATAAAATTGTGTTCAAAATATATGTAGTTGAAGCTATAAAATGGTGTTCAAAATATTTAGAGTTCATAATTAAATAACCCATAGAGGTTGATATGCCACTAAACAAAATCAAACAAAATTCTTGCAGGTTAAAGAGGAAGATTGCTTAAGACTGTGTGATCTCAGGATATAACAAAAATGTTATGTCAATATCCAAGGGTATGACATAACCAAATATTAGCAAAAAACCCAGTGACCTACATAGAGAGCTGGGACCCTATAATGAAAAGATCATGTAATGCCTGTAAATCAAAGTAAGTCATGTCATGTTACATAGTATCAATAGGTCACATGATGTTTGAACTCATTGGATCTTATAGTATCAGTTTACCAGTACAACTCCCTGGCATCTAATGCTGGTAGTACCAGTAACAGCATGTAACTTGATTTTATAGTTGTCGTATTCCATGCTAATAGGAATATATAATTGAAAAACAAGGAGGATAAAGTAAGTAAAGGTTTATTGTAAAAACCAATACAATAAGAATAAAGGTAACAGTTATACACCAGGTCGTTGCAAGTCAGTCCAGTAGTGAGTGCTGCTATTGGAAGGTCAGTAGTTCTCATGTAAGTCTGAGTCGTACTCAACAGATCCCAGCTAGACAGTATTTACTAGCCCTACCACTAGGGTAGATGTGGCACAAGGCCGAGTTTTACGTGGGTCTGCCGAGTCCATAAGATCGGCCAAAAAATCCCTGTAGAACCCGCATAAAGTCTACCTCCCCGAATGAGACTCTGCCCTTTGGCAGAGCCTTGTCTGGGTTCCTCCCTTCCCAAAGGCAGAGAGTTTGACTGTATAGCCAAAAAGATTCCAGCTAGATGGTATTTACTAGCACCCCCACTATGGTAGATATAGCACAAGGCCGAGTTTCCCTTTCAAACCTGTATAAACAGGTTCAGGGTCTACCTCCCCGAATGAGACTCTGCCCTTTGCTAGAGCATTGTCCAGCTTCCTCTCTGCCCAAAGGCAGAGAGCTCAACTGTATAGCCGGAAAGATTCCAGCTAGACTCCTGTAGTTTGTTGCCTTATGGATACTTATAGGTAGTTACTACCTATAGTGTAGTCACTCAAGGGGTTGACAGTTTATTCCATTACATCCCCTCCCACCCTGAGCTGAAATTTTCTTCCAGAAAATTTAGGTTTCTAATACTTTGTCTTTTTTGGGTCTGGACTTAACTGCATTGTGGGTTTTCTTTTCCTTTTACTCTTTCAAGGTGAAGAACATCTCGATCACATGGGCAAAGTTGGTGTAGGAATAGTCCATGTAAATCTTGTTGAAACATTATTCAGTATAATAATGCTCTATACTTTTAGTAATATAGTAAATCTAATGGAGCACCTTCTGTTATGTATTTCTGCAATTAAAATTCTACAGTTCATTGAAAAATTGTGCTTGTTGATGTTCATAATATAAATATTTAAAGATTGAAAATGATATATTTTTAATTTTGCCATCCTAGTAAAAATATTTTGCTTTTTTTATTCTTGTTTCAAGAACCAAGCTGAGGCATCCCAAAAGAGTGTGGTAAAATATTTGGTGGAATCAGGAGCTGATATCAACTGCCAGGACACATATGGCTCCACACCTCTCCATTATGCCAGTATGAGAGGTTGTGATTCTGTGGTTCGGGATCTGCTTACTTTTCCACAGATTGAAGTTGATGTAAGTTTTATATAGTCTTCAATTAGAAGTGGGGATTAAAAAGTGACTATAAAGAAGACATAGTATGAAAAGAAGTTAGAAAGTAAAAAATAGAAAAATGACAGAACCAGAAAGTATAAGAAGTGAGTAAATAAAAAAGAGAAAAGGGACAGGGAACCAGAAATGAAAAGAAGTGAGAAAGTAAAAAATAAGAAAGGTACAGGGAACCAGAAATGATAAAAAGAAAGAAAGTAAAAAAAAATAAGAAAGGGACAGGGAACCAGAAATGATAAAAAAAAAAAGAGAGAAAGTAAAAAAAATAAGAAAGGGACAGGGAAGTAGAAATGATAAAAAAAAAGAGAATGTAAAAAAGAAGAAAGAGACAGGGAACCATAAATGATAAAAAGAGAGAAATTAACAGTAGAAAAGTGTAACCAAACCAGAAAAATCAAGGAAATAAACTTGGGAAGAGGAATGCATGGAACAGAATAAGAAAGGCAATGAAATGAGTCTGTCATGAAGAGAGTAAACCTCAAAAATGGTTGAGAGCTGATTAAAGTTTCTCTGCTTACAATCTTGTGTTGTATCATCTTTATTTGGTTATTTTCTGGCTTGAAATAATATTGGAAATAATAATATTTGAATTGATAATAAAGTTTACCTGTATAAGTTAGCCTCCATAACTTTTCCCCATTAAAAAAAATTTCATAATTGATTTTGTTTTTGTAAAAACATAATGAACAAGATACATAATTTTGCAGGATTCCAAAAAAAAAAAGAGGAATATTCATGAGTATGAGTCAGCAGTAAATTCAAATAGGAAAACCATTAAATTTTCACAGGTATTTCTAGTTAATAGAAAAATTTATTATTTCGGTATAATATTCACAAATAATATTAACAATTTTTCAGGTACAAATGCAAATGGTATCTGAAATAGTCACAAGTAATTATAAAAAACAAAAATCTATGACTTTTTTTTTAATCTAAAATATAGGATATATCTTCTATGTTATTCTTTATAATGTTTTTTTTTTATTGATTCTGTGGTAAATTTATTTGATTAACTTTTATATCTGATAGATTTGTCAATTCACATGCCAAAAAGTAACAACTCAAATATAAATGAAAAAAAAATACTTCTAAAAAAACAACCAAGACATTAATTATCAACTATTTTAGGGAAACCTATGACAAAGTGGAAAAAGGTTTTGTGTGACATGTTTCATTATTTAGGACTTCTTCAGACTAAAGGACAAAACATGTCATATAGAAACTTTTTCTATACTAAGTTCTTAAGTTCAAATATTTAACAATACAATAGTGGAATTTCTATGGGTATTTTATAGTCACAGAACTCATCAGGAACTTATTCAATCATTAAATTAAGAATTATGATTCATCAGAAAATTCAAATAGCAAAATCATGAAGTTTTCATGGGTATTACTAGTTTTGAATATTGTAAAAAAGTATAGAAAAAGTAGCCTTATTTAATTTCCAGTTTCAAACATTACACAAATGAATTATTGATTTATTAAAAAATGAAACCTGAATTATTGCTTTATAAAAAAAATTAAACCACAGTATCTGATGTCCAAAATGGCCTCAAGTTTGTTGTTACCTGGGGCAAAAGATGGCTTGTTAATTTTAACACCTCCAAAACTAAACTTCTCTCAATTAATCAATTGAGAGACCCCTCTCTACCTTCCATCAGCATGGCTGATGCTAGCCTCAAGGAAATGACTTGTGCTTTCTCAGGCTAACATTCTCAGCTGACATGAAATGGAAAGACTATATTAAATCCATTGCTAGGTCAGCTGCTAAGTCAGTTCACTGTGTTGTGTGAGACAATTTTTCTCTCCAGAATTGATTCATTCATCCATGCTTAGAATATTGCTACCACATATGGTCCAGTGACCCTTTTATTTACCTTGAGCTCCTTGATAAAATCTAAAGAAGAATCAGCAATATTATTGGTCCTGATCTGGTGGCTCAGCTTTAGTGCCTTTCCCACCACTGTAAGGTTACTTCTCTGTGTCTTTTCTATAAATACTTTCATGGTAAATGTTCAGATGAGCTTTTCACTATGGCACCTAGTCATTTTGAATTTAAGCACAGTACCAGACTGGCGTTGAGATCTCATCAATTTATTTGAGCTAGCTAGATGTAGTGATAAGTCTTATGCTAACAGTTTCTTTTCCTGCAGTTCTCACTTGTGTAACTCCCTTCTGGCTTCATCCTTTCCAGCCAACTTTAATCTGTAAAAATTTAAATGCAATGTCAATCACTATCTACTGTCCTCCTGATAACTCTTTTCTCTTTCTGCTCATTATTGATTTTTCTATTTCTAATTCTTCCACACCCTGTAGACACTTGTATTTTAGTGTCTTTACTGCCTTGCATGGGGTGATACCAATTTGAAAAAAAAAAATTTTGTTTTCGTGTAGAGGCTAGAAACTGTTGTATACCTGAAGCAAAAGCAACTTAAATGATAAATTTGATAACATTTATTTTTAATGTTTTTGGTAACAGAAAGTGGACAAAACGATGATGACAGCCTTGCATACTGCAGCTCGATACAGTCAAGTTGTTGTGGCAGAAGAGCTGCTTAATTGTGGTGCTCAAGTCCAGTGCCTTGATGATGAAAAGTGCACTCCATTGTTCTATGCTTGCTTCTATGGATGTGAAAAACTTGTATTGATGCTGTTTGACAAAGCTATTGAACAAAGCGGATGGATGGGTGCATCTGATGTAAGTACATTCTTTTCAAATCACTCTGTTCACTGCAATTTCACAAATATTGTACATTTAATACAAAACACATGATTATACATAATTCTGTATTTATATTCTTAGAGATGTTGTAATATTTCTCCCAGTGGTATAATTTATAGCATTATTTCTTGTTTAAATTTCTAAGATGAAGAGATATCTTTATTTACATGTGGGCTCTTGTCCTCATCAGCCAATTGTTGTTATCTCTGGACAGGTTAAGTTTAAGGCTCTAAATTCTCTACTCCATATTGTCCCAAGAAAATCCTGAATGGAGAGACATTAGTTCATGAATTTGGTGACATAATAATTGTGAGTTCAGTTCCTGGGTAGTGTGTATTTGGACTCAGTGGAAACAGGATGAGCAATAACTGAGCAGTACTAAATAAGAACTAGATGAGAACTGGCTCAGGACAGTGGAATGGGAACAATTTGATGAAATAGTAATGCAATCTGTGGGCTAGGTAATGTATAATTGGACTCAGTGGAAACAGGTTGAGCAATAACTGAGAAGTACTTAATAAGAGCTAGATGAGATATCCCTGGACATGGGCAGTGGAATGGGAACAATTTGATGACATAATAATTTAATCTCTGTGCTAGGTAGTGTGTATTTGGACTCAGTGGAAACAAAGTGAGCAATAACTGAGCATTATTAAAGAAGAACTAGATGAGATATCCCTGGACATGGGCAGTGGAATGGGAACAATTTGATGACATAGTAATTCAATCTCTGGGCTTAGTTGTATGTAATTGGACTCAGTGTGAGTAATAACTGAGCAGTACTAAATAAGAACTAAATGCGATATCCCTAGACAGCATCAGGTGATTGAAAATAATCTGCCCCTGTGGATTAAATAAAGAATTCAGTTTGAAATTCCCTGAAGGTTACTTTGATCAAGAAGCACCTGATGAAGGCCAGAGGGTATAATGGCTGAAATATTTTCAAGCATTTTATTTTTCAGTGTCATGCATAGAAAATAAAGAATACAATCTACTAAAACATTTTGACTGTATTGTCGCAAGCTGTGTTACTACCCACTGATCACATAATGATTCTGTTTAACTGAAATCATGTTTTTAGAATGTCATATAGGAAGAAAATGAGTAACTACCTATACCAAGTTTTGAGTATAATACTCCAGATTTGTCGGTATCAGGTTACTGACTGGGGTTGATTATTGAGTGATTATTGAGTGACTATAGAGTGGAACTTTCCAGTTGAATTAGGGTGAATTAATGTGTGTCGATGAGTTGGGTTTTGATTTAGAATTTAATGGATGTTAAGCTGAGCCACACTACTAACAAGGTATTCACTGAAATGGTTAATTATCTTTGGTTGCCTTTTACCCCTTTGTTCTTGTTAAGTATTTAATTGTGGTTGTAATAAATACTGTTTTATTAACATTGAAGCCTTGAGTTATACTTAATTATTAACACTCACCATATGTCATAAAACAGAATAACATTATTTTTTATCTCACTTTCAAGTCTCTCATTTTTTTTATGACATTTTTGAAACCAATATTGAGATGGCCAGTGTGTTTTTTATTTTGAACACATAAAATAAAACTATATTAGTTTTCTCATCTTTATTTTGAAAGCCTATAATAAAAGATTAACAACAAAAACCATTAGAGCCATTCTCATGTAACATACATGACATCTGTAGACCTTTTTCCTTTGTTATAGAAAGCACTGATTAAAAATCAATTCCATGGAAGTTAACAAAATTATACAGTTATTAATATTTTAAATTTGATCATTTTTTGCCTTACAAAATTATGAACACTTGCTGTATTAAAAAGTTTGGCATCACAAACATTTGTAGCAACATGAGACTAGGGAAATGAAAATACTTTAGGTCAATATGCTAAATCCTATATATATATATATATATAATATAATAAATAAAGAACAAAGTAGGAAATGAATCTCAATCTAACATGTTTCACCTTTATTAAGGCTTTGTCAGAGGGTGGGAATAGAAATGAAAAATCAAAGAGAAAAAGTACTGGAATGTTATAACTTTTTGGTAGTTCCCATTGGTCAGACACGCGTCACATGCATAAATTCAATAGATCATATATAAATATGTTTGCGGAACATTTAGGATGTTAAAGAGTGTGTAAGTAAAGAAATGCTTGTGTGTGTAGGTGTGTAGGTGTATGTAGGGTAGGATGGTAACATTAATTCATGTAAGTTTATCAGTGTGTATGTAAGGGAAGTCTACAAATGTCACCCTCATATTTTGTTTTTGAAATGTAGTGATATGTTGCAAAATAAATTTCTATTTGGTTGGAGTTTTATATTCCTGTCTGTGTGTGTGCATATATATATATATATATATATATATATATATATATATATATATATATATATATATATATATATATATATATATATATATATATATATATCATATGCTATAAGCGTAAATTTTGATGCCACATTTTAAAGTTAAAAAAATTTGCCCAAAGACAGTTCATTTTGGGCAACAGGAACTTCCTCTTCCTGAAGGTTTTAATTATATATTCATTGATAATAATAATAAAATTGACCCGTTATTGCATAAAGTCCCTTTAAAACTTTACCTCTTTTTGTCTAACTTACTGTTGTGACCAAGTAAATCATTAAAGAAATAACAAAACAAGTGTTGCAGATTTATCATATATTAAACAGTAAGTACAACAGTTGAGTATTACATAACTAGTGAGTGTGTGTTGGTTGACCCAGCATTCAATCAATTCGACTGTTTCCCCAAGGCCCTCCCTCCAACTAATTTTATAGTAGGTGGAACTCTTTTGAGAGAGGACACCACAGCACTTACATTATTGGCTAATGGTAATCTTAGGCCTGGCTGATTTTACATTTTAGGTCAACTGCTGAAAGCATTAATCATTATCATTGAAAGAGTCTATCAAGCTTTAGATAAGAATGGTGAAGCTCAGACTGTATCTTTGGATATCTCAAAGACTTTTGACAGGGTTTAGCATACTGATCTTCTACACAATTTGAAAGGTTATGGAATTTCTGTATTAATTTTTGAAATGGTTCAGTCTTTCTTATTGAATTGCAAAATGAAAGTTGTCTTGAATGGCTACTCTTCTAGATCTTCTTGCATTAATGCAGGCATAGCTAGGGCTTTATCTTACATTGTTCCTAATTTTCATCAATGAACTTTCTGATGTTATTAGTTCTCAACTTGGTATCTATGTTGATGACACAATCATTCATTCCTGTCTTAATAGTAAGTCTGATCAGTTCAATAAGGTCACATTGACAGCTGATCTAAAAAATGACTTACACTCAACTGTTAACAGGGGTAAGGAATGGCTTGTTAAGTTTAATGCTTTCAGAATGAAATTGCTTTATATTAATCATCTGAGAGAACCGTTTCTACCTTCCATCATCATGGCTAATACTAACCTCCAGGAAAGTGACTCATTGGTACCTTCTTGTGCTAACATTTTCCACTGATATAAAGTGGAAAGATTATATCAGCTGAATTGCTAGGTGTGCTGCTAGGAAGGTTGGTTCTCTGTATCATGCTAGATATTTTTTCTTGCCAGAAACTTATCTAACATATTTACAAGTCTATCATTTGTCCTTGCTTAGAATATTACTGCCACATATGGTCTGGTTCTCCTGTATATATTTAGAGATCCTTGATGAAATTCAAAGAAAAATCTGCAATGTCATTGGTACTGATCTGGCATCTGGACTTCAGTTACTTTCCCACCGCCATAATGTAGCATCCCTGTGCCTTTTCTATAAATACTTTCATGGTAATTGTTCAGATTAACTCTCCTCTATGGTACCTAGATTTTATGTATTTAAGTGCAGTACTAGATTGGTGACAAGGTCTCATCATTTTACAGTTGAAATGGTTAGATGTAAATGTAAGTTCTATGCTAACAGTTTCTTCTTTCAAAGTTCTCACTTGTTAATGCAATGCAATGTCAGTCATTATCTTCTGTCTTCTTAATTCCAGTTCTTTTATTGTTTTCTTTCTGTAATAATGTTGTGCACACTCTCATGTGTTGAATGTCTGCTTCAGTGAAATGGAAAACCTTGTCAACTTTTATTCTTTACATTTGTACCCACTTACTTCTTTAAATAATCACAGGCATTCATATTTATGATTGTTATTGCAATATTTTGTTAAAGTTGTTAAGCTCAAATATTTAATGATGCAGTAGGTGGGGGGGAATTTTCATGAGTATGAGTCAGCAGAAAATTCAAATAGCAAAACCATTAAATTTTCACAGGTATTTCTAGTTAATAAAAAAAATATTATTTCAGTACCATATTCAACAAAAATATTAACAATTTTTCAGGTACAAATGCACATGGGATTTGAAATAGTCACAAGTAATTATAAAAAACAAAAATCTATGACTTTTTTTTTAATCTAAAATATAGGATATATCTTCTATGTTATTCTTTATAATGTTTTTTTTTTTTTTATTGATTCTGTGGTAAATTTATTTGATTAACTTTTATATCTGATAGATTTGTCAATTCACATGCCAAAAAGTAACAACTCAAATATAAATGAAAAAAAAAATACTTCCAGAAAGTCCCCAAACAACCAACCAAGACATTGATTATTAAATATTTTAGGGAAATCTATGACAAAGTGGAAAAAGCTTTGTGTGACACATTTTATCCTTTAGGGCAACAGACTAAAGGATCAATCTAATTTATCACTTGATTAAAAATTCCATGAAACTATGCTTTGTTCCTGAAATCTGAATGAATGTTTAGTTCAATGATGATTAATTTTATTTTATTCATTTCCAGTTGCTCTCTAACAAAAATATTGATGGCCAGACATGTCTTCATGCAGCTGTTAATGGCGGTAACACAAATATTGTAAAAGCATGTTTACAAAGAAGTAAGACTTCCTTTCTATATACTGTTCTTTATCTATGTTTTTTGCTTATATGTGCCAAACTTAACTTTTAAACATCTGGCTGGTTGATTTTCACTTTACTGTTTAAAATAACATGGAGGTGAACTGAACCATGTATACCCACTAGCTATAATGTTTATATTAGGTTGAGTCATATGTAATTTCTGTTTTTGTTTATCAGCTTTCTTCTTCAAAAAATAAAGTACAATTACATTTTATTTAATTACATATTCACCATTAAATATATAGGTGAATATGGCAGAGAATTGTAGAACAGATCAACCAATTCACAAATATTTTTCCAGTGTTATTCTTGCTACAAGTAGTCTTGCATTGTTATAGAAAAAAACATTTTCCCTTTAATCCACTGTGTATGCTGCCACTGGCATACAAAACTAAGGCCTGACAGTGAATTTCAAATTATTCTTAACCATTGCATATGATCAATAGTTAGGATGATATATTCATTATTATAATTGGCTTTCCAAAAACAGAAATTACCTAATAGTAATGGGAATATATATATATATATATATATATATATATATATATATATATATATATATATCAGAACAATTTTAGGAAAATCTATGACAAAAAATAGAAACATTTTGCAAAGTGATATTTATGTTGATGTGGTTACATGTGCACATGAAAGGGAGGGGTGGTGAAATTTTAAATTCAAATATTTTTTTGTTTTTAAAGTATTTGGGTGTATATATATTATATATATATTTAATTGTTAGATCATCCACCACATTTCACCTTTCTTGCCAGATTTTCTATTATCATTATTATTATTATTCCATTATCATAATGTGAGATATTTAATATAAAAAGTGATAAAAACATAAACCAAAAGAAAATAAAAACTAAATGAAATCAGTTAGCCTATAGAAACACATAGATAAAAAAAAAAATTTAATTCAAATTTTAAATTCTCAGCATCCTCTCCCCTTCATGTGCAGTCGTATTAACATAAACATCACTTTAATCCAATAGAATCCTAAAGGACAAAACATGTCATATGAAAAATTTTTCCTCTTTGTCATGCATGTGTGTGTGTGTATGTATGTATATATATATATATATATATATATATATATAATGTATGTGTGTATATATATATATATATAAAGCCACTTTTAAAACTTAAAATTTTACTTGCAGATGCGGATGTAAATGCAACACAAAATAATAAGTCAATGCCCCTCCATTTGGCAGCTATGTCAGGTAACATGGAGTGTGTTAAGATGCTTATAGCTCACAATGCTAGAATAGATGCTTTTGATAATGAACAGTCAACACCACTGCATAAAGCTTGTCTTTATAACCATCATGAAGTGGTCAAGTATCTTATTAAACAGTAAGTATTTTCTTCTTTGTGTATTTTTATAAATTCAAGTAGGCATCGCTTTGTTATTAAGTTAGTAGAATTGTAGTGTTAGGATACGATTTATTATTGGCTGAAGTCATCACTGATGAGCATACTGTCATTTTTGTAAATGAAGAAAATTAATAAAAAATGACAGGAGTTTCTAGAATCAATTAGTTGCATGTATGAGCAACAGAAAGTAAAAGAGAAATAGAAATTTCACATGCAAAAAGTTTCATAGCTTATTCAAATATAGATTCAACTCTCTTTTTTTTTTTTTTTTGACCATTATATTTTAGTCCACAAGCTGTCTTTATCAAAAATCAGCTTCAGTACATAACTCCCTGGAAAACATTTTTTTTCTATATTTAACTTTTAAGGGGTTAAGTTGTATCCTTTGTAAAAATAAAAATATAAGCAATCTTCTATATTGTATTTGCCTAATTTCTACCATGAAACCGGAAGAAATCTGTGGCCAACAACAAGGTTGCTTCAGTTGAACAGCATTTTCTGAAGAAGTTTTTTTGATAGTGATGTAATGGAATAACCTGTCACCCCCATGAGTGACTACACTATAAGTATCTGTAAGTCAATGAACTACAGAGTCTAGCTGCAACCTGTTCCAGCTAAAGTTGAACTCTCTGCCTTCGGGCAGAGAGGAACCCAGATGTAGCTCTGCCGAAGGGCAGAGTCTCGTTCGGGGAGGTAGACTGTACCTGAACCCATTTATGCAGATTCAAAAAGGGAATATTTTTGGCCGAGCATACGGGCTCGGAGAACCCACATTAAACTGGCCTTGTGCCACATGCAACCCTCGTGTGGGGGTAGCTAAATATACTAGCTTCGACCTGTTCCAGCTAAACAGTCAAACTCTCTGCCTTTGGGCAGAGAGGAACCCGGATGAGGTTCCGCCGAAGGGCAGAGTCTCGTTCAGGGAGGTAGACTGCCCCTGAACCCGTTTATACGAATCTGAAAGGGAGTATCTATGGGCTCGGACAACCCACGTTAAACCAACCTTGTGCCACATGCAACCCTCGTGGGGGGGGTAGCTAAATATACTAGCTGCAACCTGTTCCAGCTAAACAGTCGAACTTTCTGCCTTCGGGCCGAGAGGAACCCGAATGAGGCTCCTCCGAAGGGCAGAGACTCGTTCAGAGAGGTAAACTGACCTTGAACCAGTTTTGTGGATTCAAAAAGGGAATGTTTTTGGCCGAGCCTACGAGCTTGGACAACCCATGTTAAACTGGCCTTGTGCCACATGCAACCCTCGCTGGGGGGTGGGTAGCTAAATATACTAGCTGGGATCTGTTGAGTACAAATCAGACTTACACGAGAACTACTGACCTTCTAATAGTAGCATCCATTACTGGATTGACTTGCAATGACCTGGTGCATAACTGTTACCTTTATTCTTATTGTATTGGTTTTTACAGTAAGCCTTTACTTATTTTATCCACCGTGTTTTTCAAGTATATATTCCTATTAGCACAGAATATAACAGCCAGCAACATTAATTCCATATCAGTCAACATTGTCATCATTGCATCTATCTGTTCAGAATAGTTCCATGTGGTATGTAAATAAAAAGAAATTAGTTGTTGGTGGGATGATGAGTCACGAGTTGGTGCTATAGAGAGTCATATCAGACTGGCCATGAGCTGTCCATTGAGGTGTAGTGATAGCTGCATTAAAAGGTGAGCAGAGGGGCAGTTGAGGTTCCTGCTGGCCAAAGGGAAGATCTGGACTGTTATTCTGTTGTGAGAATAGATGACCCAAGTGTTACCTACATGTTGTCACCATGGCAATATTTTCACCTTCCATTCTCATGTGAACATACACTGGGCCTTTCCTAGTTTTTATTCCTACTGAAATAAACAGGAATCAAAAACACAAGGTGGAGTGATTTGTCAAATTGGTAAAAGACTGAGTGAAGACTTCAGTTGTATATTTACAAGTTATACCTATAATTTACTCAAACAGAAGTATTTTGATAAAAAGTAATGAAGATAGAGATATTACTCTGAATGATTCAAGGAATTTATTTTGATTTTCATTACAAGTCTAAGTGAAATAATAAATGTCAACTATTGTGAGTTGGCTTATGGTTATATAAAGTTGTCTGATCACCAGTTAGGTATGTTGCATTCACTTATGCAAATATACTTGGGTGATCATGAATTGAAAAGTGACACGATTGTCCAAGCATGTCATATCTGCCTAAACCAGGCTGGCAGGGTAGGGTAATTGCCCATCCCTCTCTATGAATATGGAGAAGGCCTACAACCAACAAAAGACCTTCATAGTCTGAGAAGAAGAAAGAAGAATTCTAGCCTAGATAAAATACCTTTAAAGAAAAAAAAAAAAAAAAAAATTACCCACCCCCTAACAGAACGCATTTGCATGTATTATTAAAATTCACTATCACTATGGAATGCAAATTTTATCTCAGTTACAATAAGTTTGATCTTAGAAAAGATAGACTGTACTTGGGTTAAAAAAAACTATGGCACCTTCCTTGATGAATTTCATCTTAACATCAAGAAACTGATTAAACAACTGGAAAGGATCAGTATAACAATAAGTAGACTCAAAATATCTGTATTATTCTATGGAACATGTTTGAATAAAGATATGCTGCCTATATATATATATATATATATATATATATATATATATATATTAGCTCTTGAAAATATATTTCAATTCAGCACTATTGAATGACAAGCTAATTCTACAAGCAACAACCACCTGCGTTAATGTGAAGTTCTTCAGTAAAATGAATAGAGCACTCCAGCTGATTGACATTTGTTTACATTTGTAAAAACAAATTGCTATATTTAGCTGCCTCATTCTGTCGAATGAAGATAGCTCATTGGTAGAAACTCTGACTGATACCAAATCGGTTGAGTTTCAATCCTGGCTTGAGGTATTTGGTTGTCTAGTTGCACTGAAGAGCTGTAATACAGCAAAACAGTACTGTCTGTGAATGACATATATATATATATATATATATATATATATATATATATTAGTCAACTAGTCAATGTGTTTTGTCCTTTGATGGACTTTATCTAGGTAAATAAAAAACCAATGAGGATTTTTTTCAACAAGTATTTATAAGCTAAAAGTAAAAATGTTGGTTTTTAAAAATTTTCAAAAGAACTATCATAAATATACAACAGGCTAACTGAAAGTTTAGGTAAATTATGGAAGATGATAAGTGACATAATTTAATGTCTAATAAACAAAAAGTGAGTAAATGTTTTTATTTTATTTTTTACTAAATAATGTAATTAATATTTATATCAAATAATGTAATTAATATTTATATTAGTTTGGGATTAGTTTATTTTATATTTTTTAAATAATAGGGCATAGTAATTTAAGATTAGTTTTCCTTTTGTCTTTATTTATACTGTCTTTTGTTAGATATATTTGAAGTTATATCTGAAATTTTACATGTATATATAAATGTAATTAAACATTTTTGCTATGAAAAACAATATTTAGTAGTAATTATTATTTTCTTACATGACACCTTATTTTAAATATTTTCCACATTAAAAAAAATAGCACTAGAAACTTATTTCTTGATAAACTGTGTCTATATTTTTCTGCTATTTTTTTGTCAAATAGAATCCTGTTGCCTTGAGAAATGGTACACTGATAAGCTACATAGGTTTTGGATAATTGGAGTCATCTTATGTTTGGAATAAGAAATGAATAAAAAAAATATTACAAACAAATTGGTGGGATGTATTAAAAACTATTCTGTAATGTTGTTGGTGCTAGAGATCCCATATAGATGTCATTGTGCTATTCTCACTTTTCCTTTTTTGTTTTCAGTGGAGCTCGTATAAATAAGAGAGACTATGACAGCTGCACCCCACTGTTGTTAGCATCCCTCAAGGGACATGTAGAGACAATTGAAGTATTGATGGAAGCTTTTGCAGACCACACTGCTGTTGATATATCAGAAAAAACAGCTGTCTATTTAGCTGTCGAGGAAAATCACCTGGAAGCCTTAAAGGTTAGAAATGAATGGATAAAAGTGAAAATTTTTGATTCATGGAACAAGGAAGCTGGCTGTTGTCAAAATATTGAAACAATTATGAGCCACTTCAGTGTCATAAAAAATGTTGCTGAATAAAGTGAAATTACCAATTCTAATACAGTTTGATGCTGCTGTCTTCCACCTTTGGAAATATAGACAATATTCCAAGATCTTAACCAAAGCTGGTGTGTACTACCCATGAACTGCAAGACTAGGGGGAGGCCTGGTTGGGGGCCTGGGCAGTGCATTGTCACCCTCGCTATCTTATTAGCATTTGTTTTTCTCTATCTACATTTATATACCTTACAAATTAAACTTAACACAACTATTAAAGGATGAAAAAAATTGTTTGCCTTTTTAATAAGAAAAATCTCAAATTGATGCTAAAAATTGACGCAAAAACATTGTTGATTTATTTAAGATGGAATGATCGATTATGACATGTCTCTGATTTGTATTTAGATACATTGTATTTATTCAATTTTTCTAATTGAATTGTTCACTTATATTGTATAAGATCCATTATTCTACATAATTAGGTTACAATAAAATTTGTATTTTATATGAATAATACCTTATGAAAATTGAGATGCAGTAAAGTGGGGGCCCCGTATCATAGATTTAGCGGGGCATTATCATAGATTGATTGGGGGCATGTCATAGATTGGGGGACATCATAAATTTGGTGTGTGGTGTGCACACAAGACCCTTACACCAGTCCTGATTTTAACTATAAGACAAGCTCAAATACACTTAATGTTCACTATCCCCAAAATGAGGCTGTGGGCACTTATGGTAGAAACCCATAGCTAATATAGGATATTTACCAACCTATAATTAACACTGGATTTAAAGTAAAGCCACTAAGACACAAGGGATTACTGGGTGTGAAAGAATTAGAAAACAGATGCATTACTAAAGAGTGAGAACAATAGAAGAGTAATCAGGAAGACAGTAGATAATGGTTGATGCTGCTTTTAAATGTTTGAAGATCAAACATGACTGGAAAGCAAGAAGCTGGAAAAAAGTTTCACAAGCAAGAAGTACTAGAAAAGAAACTGTTAGTATAGAACTTATGATTGCATCTAGCCAATTCAACTGTAAATTGATGTAACCTTGTTGTTAATCTAGTACTATGCTTAAATTCAAAAGGTCTAGGTATCATAGCAAAGAGCTCATCCAAACAATTACCATGAAATTATTTATAGAAAAAGGCACAGGGAAACAACTTTATGGTGGTGGCAAACTGACTGAAGCTGAGATGCTAGCTCAGGACCAATAATATTGCTGATTCTTCTTTGGATTTTATAAAGAATCTCCAAATATATAGCAGGAGTATAGGACCATAAATGGCAGCAGTAATTGAGGCATAGGCAAATAATAGACTTATAAATATGTAAGATAGATTGTTGAGAGAAAAATTCTCTGGCATGATACAGTAAACCATCTTTCTTAGCAACTGACCTAATAATGGATTCAATTTAATCTTTCCACTCCATGTTGGCCAAGAATTTGGGGGAAAATTATATTTATTGTTATTTTTTTGAAAAATTTTTGATCAATACTAGATTTTCTTTTAATTTATATAATTAATTTTATTATAGACATTGATGGGTTGAATATAGAATCTGAGTAAAATAGTGTTTGTATACTTATGTCATATATATATTTTTCTATTTTTTTAATGATTTCACACCAAGCAAAGCAATGAAGCCACTAAGACGCAAGGGGTCTTGTAAGAGTGTTAGAATTTTCAAATTTTAAAACTTATTTTAAGAATAAGCCTATTGTATAATTTTTTTGTCAATCACATGCATCAACTTTTTAGAAAACACTTAAATCATTTTATTTTTTGCGGGGTAAATTGATCAATTGTTTTATATCATTTTAGAAACTCCTGGAATATCCTATAGTAACTGATCAAATCCATGAGAGTGACCAGTATGGAAATATACCTTTGCATATAGCAGCAAAAGAAGGCTACGTCGAGATAGTTCGGGTAAATATGATGTAATGTTTACATTTTTTATTGTATATTTATAATGAACTTTTCTCTGCTTTAAGGAAACTAATGAATCTTATATTAGGTTTGAATATTATTGTAATAAACTAAAGGTTAAAAATGATCATGCATTCTATGTACATCAGTTTGTAGGTATAATATTTTCTTTTTCTTTATTTTCTATATTTCTTAGTCTTGATTGTAATTTGTCAAAGTGAGTGCGAATGTGTGTGTATGTAAGGATTGACAGCATTTGCTATTTGGTTGGACAACTTTGGTTTTAACATGGAAAAGTAAAACAATATAGTTTAGACCAGTGTTTCTTAACAAGAGGACACATGGCCACAAGGAGACCCTGGTAAATTTTATGGGGGCCACAGACAAATTTGGGGATTGAAGGACCACAAATTCAACCCTGCTACCCTTTATATTTTAATTCTAATAAGCTTAAATTATGTACTAAAATAACTTTCAAGTGTCTTTTATGTTACTAGTGTGCATTTATGTAAAATTTATCTGCAGAACTTTTTTATTTCGCATAACATTATTTTTTTTATTTTGCATAACTTTTTAAATTTGTGTGTGTATTTATGCGCAGAACTGTTTTTGTTGAAATAGAATTTTATTTCACTTAACTAGTTTGGTTTTTAAAACAAGCAATTTTGAAGTTTATATGGAGAAATATCACTGTTTATTTGTTCCAGAAATTAACCTCTGTTAAAACTTTTTGTTAAAGTAAATGATAGTAGAGGCCCCAAAAAAATCATCAATCAAAAGTGGTCTATGAATTGAAAAAGATTTAGAACTACTGGTTTAGACAAAAAATATTATTTGAATTTCCTAGATAACAATGTTAATTATTAGTTTAAACTATTGAACCATAAATTATATAACTATAAAATATTAAATTATTAGTTTAATTTAGATTAAAATAATCTGTGTTGAGACAATTTACATTAAGTCTAAACAGCCTTCCCTCTGTAAACAAGAAATTGCTGATGGGTCTAAATATAAGGTGTGTGGTCTGGTAGTATTTTTTCCTCTTTTTTAGTTGTTCTGCATACATTTATATATTTTTGTTGTCTGAAGCATGAGACACAATAACCAGTTAGCTCTTTTTTGTTCCTTTTTTGTTATATATTTTGATCCACCAATTTAATTTGAGAAGTTTTTTTTCTTATATTTGCTCTTCCTCCCTCATTGTTGCATATATTTATATATACTTTTGAAATGTTCATTTTAGAGCCCAAATGTAGTTTTTTACTAGTATTTCATATTTTTTTTCTGATTGGATTACAAAAAAAAGAAAAAAAACCTGGGATTCAATTTTTTTGTTGTTATAAATTCATTTTTTTTTTTATAAATTTGTTTATTTTTCTCATAAATAAATAGCCTGTTCCACAGTCTGAACTGTAGGTTAAAAATATTGACATATATACAACACATGAAACCCAGAGTTGCACAAAATGGTGAGAAACAAATATATATTTATGCTTAGTATAAATTTTAGTTCTGTTATCTTACATTGAGCACTCTTTTATTACCACCAGCACTTACTTTGTGTTATTTTATATATATTCAACATAAAAGAAAATATTCCATAGTGGATAATTTTTTAATGTTCTCATGAAAGCTAAAGCATAACTGTCAATTACTGCATTTAAATGCAAAAAGAAAAAAATTCAGTAATGGGTAGCTACACATAGTTTTTTTGCCTTACCAATTACACCCCTGATGATGATTTCAGAAAGAGATGGAAAGTACTTGAGAAATAAAAGTGATTTTCACTGTTACAGTGCATTTCTTGCATCATTTGATAGTAATACATGGAAAATATCCATGAATATGAACAGATTATACCAAAAATAAGCAGAGATGATGTTTGTAATTTATTTAATCAGAGATTCCTAAAAGAGAATTTGCTGTTTAAATACACAAATATATATATATATATATATATATAAATTTTGTACTACAGAATTTAGATATGGCTTTGAAAATGAAAGAACATATTCTTTTAAAGGGACCTTTTTCATCAAACACTTCTACAGAAAGATTCATTTGAACAACAATAATCAAAATGGTGTAATGGAAAAAGGTAGATATGAGGGCTTGTAAATAAGAAACCACGATTAAAATAAGTTTATTACTAAAAACAAACTGATGTAAATAAGCTCCTAGTGAGTATAAAACATGTGAAAAGAATTATTCATGACCCACCCACGAGACACAGAGAATGAAGAAATTTCTCTTTCTGTCTGTACAAAAGTCAATCGATGAAGCATGATGTAAACAGCTTCTAAAAATCATAAATATTTAACCAATCAAGCCTTGTGCAGCATCCTAAATTTTCTGTCAACATATTCAGATTTCCAACATGGGTTATTGATCAAATGAAGTGCAATTGCTGACTCACAAACTGACTGAGTCAAGTGATTACTGTTAGTAGCTTCACTCTGTCTTATATAGGCAGGCATATGTTGTCCAATCCAGGTCTAACTGCAAGTTGGTTCACATCACATAGTCAGCCTCACCACCAACACTTAAATTGATAAATCATGGAACTACTTTGCAAGTAGAGCAAACCAATTGATATATATATCTGTAGTTTACTGCTACCAGCAAGCAGAAATATTTCTTCTCCCAATGATGGCAATTTTGGCTGAAACTAGTTGAGGAATCTAAATGAAATAATAATAAAAAAAATGAAAGAATATTAATCTACAACCCAGTGTGTCTGAAGATTTTAATTTTTTAATATTAATTTTTTAATATTTTTTTATTGTTCAAAATATATATATATATTTTTTTTTAATATTTTTATATATATACATATATATCAGTGAGGATTCTAACTCATCAATGTTGCTCTTTGTACAATTTAAAGTACCATATTATAAAGTATTATAACTGAAAAAGATCTGTGTGACTGCATGTATCATGCTTATTTTGTCTTGAGTTGTTTATTGTGAGTGGGTTGTTGGTTAACATGTGGTTGATGCTTTTCATTCTTACAAATCAGAATCAACTTAGATTTACATTAGGTACCATCAAATTCTGATGCAAAAAAAAAACCCCTTAAAAACGCATTTACAATAAATTGAAAAGTCTCCTTTTTAGTAAAATTTTGGTTATATTTGAAAGATAGTCTCTAAGGAAGTCCATGAGCCTCATGGTTGCGAAATTGTACACAGGGTCTGCAGTCCCTTGGTTTGGAAACCCCAGCACCCCTGTCCAACATTTTCATTGTTAGGATTTGGTTACTCGAGCTGCAGTATAGGTATTTTTGATGATTTTGATCAGTTTCTGCTACTAATTGTTTTGTATCAGCAGCACAAGATCAAAGACCTTTACAGTTGTCCACAACTTTAAGATGTAAACTGAGGGAACTGTTAACTGTTAGAGAATGTTAATTTCACAAGGCTGAATTTTATGATATTCATTAAAGTTTGGGCAAACATGGACTTTCATGGCCACAAAAAATGGAGTTTCAAGAGAACAGTTTTTCCCTTGACACCACTATTATTTTAACTACCTTCACTCCTTGGCAATATTTATTGTTTTAAAAAGTGATGATTAGAATTGGAATAAAACCTAAACATATGATGAAAGTGAATTTATACATTTTTTTATTCATGAAAAATTGAATTAACAACAAAAATATTAAACAATATTTATATTTATTACATTGTTTATTTACAATAATTATTTTATATTTACAACATTCCAAAATCTAATACAATTGTATTAAGACTAATGCAATGCAATATTTGTAATTTACCAATTTCTAAAGAAATGACATGTTCTGAAAAGCAGCAGGATTACTATGCATTACTGAGTATTTCTGTCCGAGTTAAAGTAGGAGTGTTACCCAGCATCACCTGAAATTCGTTAATCCTTGCTTGTGTTGGTGGTGTCTTGGCTACATTCATCCCTTACATGTAGTGTTCCTGTGTAGAAGTGTGGGAGACTGAAAATAAAATAATAAATAAAATAATAAAGAATTTCATTTTCCTATAATGCAAAAAGGATTTCTGGTCACATGTGAATTTTATGACCCCCACTTTCGGAAAAGAAATGATTGTTCTCTTCTCACTTCCCAACCATTGAGTTTGGACATGATTGGTAGCTGTCCTAATGAAAGGGAGATTTGGCCACCCTCACTCAATGTCAGGCTAACTTGAGGTCAACCATTCTCTATACCTTTGCATCTTTGTACCTATGTGTATCAACTGGCCATTCATTTTCTATTCAAGTTTTCATTTTGTTTCGTTTATTATCAGTCCACCGACATTCAAATTTTGTTGGCAGCACAAACTCAAATACAGCTTTTTACAGAAGTCTTGTTTCTACTCTGCTTGTCTTGATTCAGTGTTCAAATCTTTTAGTGTTTGATTCCAGTGCTGCTAATTTTTCCGCCCTTCCTAAGGTGTGATATGCCTATTTGTTTACAGATACCCAACCAATAAGAAAATTCATCACTTTCCTTACTATCTATTGTATTTTCTTTGGGTTTCCTAATGGCAGAACTAATACAGTCATTGATGATGACTAATCCTCTTAATTTTATTTTAACATATAGCCTATCAACATTACCTCAGGTGTAGAACATTATGCATTGTCATCAGTTTTCTTGTTTTATGATTCAGGTTTCTGAGCCTCTCTCTTGTCCAGTTTAAGAAGGACCCAGAGTGTCTCACAATGAAAAATATCCTAGTATTTATTACTTTAATTAAAATTGTTGCAGATATGGGCTTTAATATTTTTCTTAGTCTGTTGAGGTATTATTTACATATTTCTTTCATCGCTTTATGTTTAATTGCATCTACCTTCAAAATACCCAGGTACTTGTAGCTTTCTATCCTGTTGACTGTTCTAATGATTTTCTGGTTGAGATGATTCATTTCCTTCTGTTGTTTCTCATTTTACCTTATTCCTTACCAGTGTAGCACATTTTTTAGTGACAAATTTCGTTCCTATGTCTTGGCTGAAAATTTTCTATAGGTTAATTAGTAGGACTTGTATCAGTAAATCATTATTATTTCCAACAAATTTTTACAATCTAAAAATAGTTTCTGGCTTTAAGTAACCTGCAAAAGCTTAAGCCATAAAATGAGTCAATCTATCAATCCAGATTACGGATAAAATAAATAAATAAAATTATTTTTGTTTTACATTTTTGCCTGTTGTATAACTCCTACTTTTTTAATTTCAGCAAAGAATTGTGTCATTGTTTCAATATTAATTCTTTTATCTTTTAAGCTTCTTCTACAATATGGTGCTAGCATCAATGCTGCAAATGATGAAGAAAGTAGCCCGATTCACTTGGCTGCCCAATATGGCAGAACAAAGTATGTGTATAAAATTTTTGATTTTTTTAAAAATCAGATCATTGAATAGGAGACTGCTAGTTCATTCTATATCCAATATTAAAAATCTAAGTCTTTTGTTAGTTATTGTCTGTAATTTTTTTTTTGTAAACTGTTACAACAACATCAATAATGTTGATTATGGTGGTGATGATGATGATGATGATTGTAAGGACTTCTGCTCCCACTAGGGAATGTTGGGATCAAAACAGATCCAGGTGTGGGCAGTTTGAATAGATATTTTGTTGAGTTTACCATGTTTTATGTTGTCTTTGTGTTGCTTCAACTTTTCAGCGGGCAGTCTCATATACCTTTCCACCCTAAGTCCAGTGGTACATAAACAAAGTGTTTTAATTATTATATATTGTTTAGATTGGATCCATTTTTATTTTGTTTTACCACATTGTTTCAGTTGTGTATGCTCTGGCTTTCCTCAGGTATCTGTACTGTCCTGAAAATTTGAACCTTACTCTGAAAAGTGTGAAAAAATTATCCTGCAACATTGTACTCCCTTGTGTGAGTTAATTGATACAAAATGAATAATTCCGTTATTATTTACTTTTTTTTTTGTATTTTTCCATTGAAACATGACCCAGTGTTAGTACTTTGTATGTCCATTTCACAAAGTTGTTCCTTGCAGATTGACTACAGATTTTTGATTGGATTTAAATCAGGAAAGTTTCCAGGCCAGTATATAGTACTTTGATTTGCTCACTGGTAAGGCTTGCCAGTTTGTTCATGAAATGTTACAATTTTCATACACTTCCTTGGAGTAACATCCATTGCAGACAATGGCCGTAGGAGAACTAATCGACAGTTGAGACAATAGTGTTTGGGTGTGATAAAAATCTGATGCAATCACTGACGATGCAATATTTTTCAAAGCCAAACAAATTTCATCATACACTCTGAAAATAAATTCATATTACTGCGCACCACTGCAAATGAGCTAATCTGAGAAAAAATAGAAATTGATTACACCCTGTCACTCCAGTGGGTCTAAAACTGACCATATAGTGAAAGAAAGGAAACTAAAGTGGTTGTTTCAATTAATTTTCGCAAGGGTGTATGTATATATGAATATAATTTTAACTTGTAATGTTCATCTCTTTATAGTTGTGAAAAATGTATTCTGTATTAGTGATTTTCTCTCAATTATTTATCATTCAAACATTATTTAACAGCAATAATAAAAAGGGTCTTATATATATTTAACAATAATCTTACACTATTTATTATCTCTCTCTCTATATATCTCTATCCTTTTCTTATTTATTGATTGACTTCCAATATTCATCATATCAAAAGAAATTATGAAAATAGTAAGAATAAGTGGTCCATTTGATGACTAAGTTTCTATTCCAATGTCCAGTGCCAATTTTGTATGTGTGTATTGTGTGTTTGTATGTATGTATCTTTAAACTGTAATTTCTCAATAATTATAACTTTATGAAGTGATCTAATTTATGTTAATATTCTTTTGATTTTAACTCTTGGGATAATGTTCTGAGTGGTAATTGTTGTGTCGTGTATTTTGCTAAGTAAGCGTTTTTGACCTCTGTTCTAGTTGGTGTCCATTTATCATATGAGCTACCTGCTCATATGCAAATTATACTAATTTGCATATCACTACATCTCCCTATAACGGAGGGGCCTTATGCCGTGAGTACTTCTTGTACTTCTTCTTGTGCCCTCCTGAACATCTTCCTTTATCTCTCTCCTTTCCCTTGGAGATCTAGATCTATCATGTCTTTCTCTATAATCGAATTGTTCCTCTTGCATACTCTGGTCTTTCTCTTCTAACTTGTCCCATTCTACTTCTTCCAACTCATCCCTCTCTACTTCTTCCTCTGCAGTTTCATTCTGCATTAACTCTTCTGTTACGTCAATAATGGGCATCTCTGAAGGCATTTCCTCATCCAATTCTTCTCCTTGGGATCTTATTTGGTCAGCATGAGCTAGAACACTGTTCCCATTTTCTTTATTTAATATTGCAGTATTATGTCCTTTCTGCATAATAAATTCGGCTGACTCGGGTTGCATATTCCTATTTCTTTTGTACCACATCTTTTGATTTGTGGCATATGACATAGTCAAAGGGGACCTTAATTGTCTGCCCATTAAGGCAGATGGACTTTCTGGTCTGCCTGCATGTGGAATTGTTCTGTAACTTAATAGTAGTCTTAGTAGAAAAGCATCGATTTCCTCCTTCTGTTGCAAGCATGCTTTTATGCCCTTCTTTACTGTCTGGACCATCCTTTCCGCTGTCCCATTACTTTGAGGGTGGTAGGGAGGGTCTTGTAAGGTCTGCATCCTATTTTTCTTAGCCATTCATGCAAATCAGCATCCACAAATTCTGGTGCGTTATCAGTCAACAATGTTCTCGGTGCCCCATTTCTCAAAAATATTACTCTTAATATTTGTTTTACGGTGGTACTTTTTTTTATCAGGTACTCTCACCACTTCAGGCCAACCTGAATATGCGTCTACTAATATTAATAATAGTCCTAGGCATGGTCCATGTGTACTCTGCTCCATGGTTCTACTCGGGGCCATACATGTATTTTCTTTTGCTTAAAATTCCTGAGTTCTGTGCATTTTTTGCATCTTTTTACATAGTCTTCTACGTCTCTTGAGTACCCCGGCCACCACGCTTCCAATTTTAATCTTCTTTGCGTAGCTGCCACTCCACAATGTACGTCATCGTGTACACTTTTTATAACCTGTCTCCTCTGTGTTTCTGGGGGAACTACCAAGTCTCCATTACATATTATCCCATTTTCTATAGTCATTCTATGTCTAATTTCTTTGAATGGTCTTTCAGCCATTGAACAATTTCCTCAGCGATTCTGTTTTATCCTCGACATTATTCTATTTAACACTGGGTCATTTGTAGTTTCAGTAGCCATTTTATCTACAGATATTATATTGGTTTCTACAAGGTGCAAGAATGTGTCTTCAAATTCCTCGTCGTTTTTGTCCTTCTCCTCTCTATAAAACCTCAATCTAGATAAGGCATCAACGTGCGGTATCGTATTCCCTTTAACATATTCAATGTCAAAGTCGAACGCCATCAGTCTAATCGCCCAACGTAATATTCTGGACGTTGTAACTTTCAGTAGCTCTTTTCTTGGGTTGAAAATAAATTCCAGTGGTCTGTGATCACTTTTCAACAAGAATTTTTTCCCATCAAAAACTGTCTTGCTCTATCCATTGTTCACACTATGGCTAGTGCCTCCCTTTCTATATTCGAATAATTGTGTTCAGTTGTTGTTTATCTCCTCGATAAGTACATTATGGGATGCCCATCTTGTGACAAAATACCAGATATGGACTGCTCACTAGCGTCAGTAGTTAGTTATGTCCTTCTTAGGGTCAAAAATTTGTACTATTGGCTTTTTTGCCAGAATCTGTTTTAAGTTTTCAAAGGCTTTCTGTTGGTGTTCTAATCAAATGAATTCCACATTTTTTTTTCTTAACTTAGCAAATGGTTCTGTCAACTCATTATATTTTGGTACATATTTTCTATAAAAATTTACCAAACCTAAGAAGGACTCCAACTCTTTTTTATTTTTCGGTGTAGCAACTTTTAGAATTTTCTCTATTAGTACTTTATCTGGAGAGATCCCTTCCTTTGATATTGAGTAACCCAAAAATGATATTTCATTACTGTTGGTTACACACTTTTTTTGCATTTATTGTCATACCAGCGTCTCTTAGCCGGTTCAGTATATTTTCAGTTTTTTTCTTTAAATGATCTTCATTTAAATCTCCAACACATATATCGTCTTGATAACAGATGGTATTTTCAACATTTCCTATTACTTTTTCAATAGCTTTTTGAAAAATTGCATTTGCCGTTTTTATGCCATACGGCATTCTTTTCCACCTTAACAGGCCTATAGGTGTGTTTATAGTCATCACTTCTTTAAAATTTTCATTTATTGGTATTTGGTGGTAAGCTGATTTTAGGTCTATCTTCGAAAATACTTTCATTCCAGCAAGTTTATGTTAAGCTACTTCCACATTTGGAATAGGGTACGAGTCAGCACAAACTTTATGGTTCACCCCTATTTTATAATCTCCACAAATTCTCAGGTCACCATCTTTTTTTTTCAATACCACAATGGGTGATGCCCATTTACTTTCTCCTGGAGGGGCAGGTTCTAATAAGTCTTCCTTTATTAGCTTTCGCAATTTAGCTATTACCAACAGTAATAAATGCACTGGTATTTTTCTCGCTTCGTAGTAGGAGGGGGAAACATTTTCTTTTAATTTCAGGCTAGCTTCATAATTTTTAATTTTCCTGTTTTTTCTATTTCTATCTCATTAATCAACTTCGTTGAATTTATTTTTTAACACATCATTCCCCAATAGTCCATGCATTTTTCGGCAATTTGTAACTATAATGGGTACTATTTCATATTTTCTTTTTAGTTCTATTGAACCTTCAAAGTAACCCATAATTGCTATAATCGAACCATCAAACTGACGTAATTGTACGTTGTTTTTTTTTAAAAACAGTTTTCCCATTTTTTCCCACAAATTTCTGGGTACTATTGTGACGTCACTACCTGTGTCAATTTGCATTTCGACAATACAGTCGTTGATTTTATTTTTAACTTTTATTTTTGTATCTCTATTCTTAGATCCAGTATTTTGTATATTATCCTTTTTTACATTAAAAATCTGTCTATTTTCATCCTCTACTCTTTCCACATTTTTCGTTTTACATACTTTTTTGAAGTGATTTTTTTTTTAAACACTTTGAACATGTTTTTCCAAAGGCTGGACATTTTTCTTTTTTCATTTCATGAATTTTCCCACAGTACGCACAATTTTTTCTTTTTGTTTGTACCGTATATGTTTCAGCCATTATTTCTTCGTAGGATTTATTTTTATTTTGGTTGTAGGTATGTTAATTCCTGCTGTTGTATAAATTCTATACACATATTCAAAGGCATGTTTGTAAGTTGTAACTGTTCCATTAACTTATATCTATGTGCTGAATTATGCATACCTTCAATTAATCTTAGTTGGATTAATTCTTCTTCCGTTGTCTGCTCTCCTGTTCCTAGTTTTTCGAATTCACAGTATTTACTCACACTTCTTAACCGGTGTAAATATTTTACTATCGGTTCATCCACTTCCTGCTTCATTGCCATAAACTTGGTCCTTTCTGCAATCACCAGTCTTTTCTTTGGCCTCATGTTTCCCTTAATAACCTGACTTATTTCTTCTAGTTCTCGAGGGTAAACCATTGTAGCAACCTTCATAATCGCTTCACAACCAGCGGTAGCCATAAACAAGTCGGTGATTTCATTTTCCCCTCCTCTGTTTTTGTTGTCTTTCAACTTTTTACATCTTGCATTAGCAGCAAAGCAACGTATCTACGTATTCTGGGTCTTCAAGGACCAAAGAGTATCCTATCGGCGACGACATTGTTGTGTTGTGTATTTTGCTAAGTAAGCGTTTTCGACCTCTGTTCTAGTTGGTGTCTATTTATCATATGAGCTACCTGCTCATATGCAAATTATACTAATTTGCATCTCACTACAGTAATAATAGTAGTAACTCTCCCATGATTGAGAAGGGGTCAAGAACTTTATTTGGCATCAATCCTAGAGATGGTGTCTTGATAAAATCACCAGAATCTGTCTTAAAATACAAAGAAGAATCTGTAATGTTATCAGTCCTAAATTGGCCTCCTGCCATAATGTAGTTTCCATGTGTCTTTTCTACAAATATTTTCATTATAATTTTTATGATGAACTTTCCTCTATGGTACATAGACTTTATAAAATTAAGAGCAGTACTAGATTAGCATCTAATCTCATCATTTTACTGTTGAAATGACTAGATATAACTGTAAGTTCTATGCTAACAGTTTCTTCACTCACACTTCTTGCTTGTGGAACTCTTTCCTGGCTTCTTGCTTTCCAAGTAAATTTTGATCTTTAGAAATTTAAATTCGGTATAAATTGTTATGTTCTGTTTTTTTTTTTTTTTTTAATTCTTGTTCTTTTATTGTTCACTTCCTTTGATAATGTTTTTCTTTTTCTCAGTAACCACTTCTATCTTAGTGGGATTATTGCTTTCCTTGGGGTGAAATGATTTAAAAAAAAATTGACAATTAAAAAAAAAAATACTGTTTGTTTTCATTATCTCCTTTGAAGTAGCACATGTGAAAACGTATATGCACCCCATTTTCTTTAAAAAAAAATAGATAGCCCAGAAAATGCCTATGTGAAGCTGAGATATCTGATAATCTAATATTTACTAATAAAACAAAGACTATAAGTACTTGTACCTAGAATAACTTTAGAATATTGTAATAATAAATGACAAAAATATATTTTATTATCAAGTATGGTAGTTTTCATAAACATGTCTACATTATTCTCAGAAACTTCTCTAATGTATTAAAAGAATTAAAATTAAAAGAAACTTATCCAATGTACTGTTAGAAAGTATCAAATATAACTATATCAAGAATTTATAATTTAACCTGGATCTTCTTAGGTAGGTTCAAATGCAAATATACACTCATTTGGCCAGAATTTAATGCAGGCATCCCTTAATTACTGCACATTCGATTAATGCGTTTTCGATTAGTGCATTAAAATTTTTAAATACCAAAATTTAATTAGTGTATACATAATACTCGATTAGTGCAGTAAAACATTTTTCATGCTAACCATAGTAATTGAAAATTGATTTTTTTATAGTTACCGATGTACACATTAGCCACACTAAGCAAGGGATTTCTGTATTGTAGAATTGAAAAGTCATCAGTGACAAAATCAGATAAATGTCATAAATCAGGAATGAGTGCCAAATTTAATCTTGTCAAAATCCATAGACTTTTGGATAGTTGTTGGCAGCAGCACTCATTTGCATTCGAGCATTGGGATCATCATCCTCTCTCCTTATTCCCATTCTTCTTCCTGGTGGTGGTGGCAGAAATGGCTGTGAAGGCCCAGCCTACTCCTGAAGAGTCATAAGCAGGAGTCACAGAGGAGTGTGGGTGGATGTGCAAGTTGTAGATCCTATTCATGTTGATGGTTAGACTTGAAAGTCTTGGTGCCCCCCTCCCCTCAATGGTCCTATACCAGGAAGGCCGATTTGCAGCAACAGTTTTCCAGGAGGTCACAAGGGATACAACCATCATGAACCCACTACCAATGTGTGGGTGTGGACTAAGGGCCTCCAGCTAACCAAATCTGACCCCATTGTCCACAAGGCCATTGCTGCCAGAGTTGCTGAAGGGTGGTAGAAAGCAAAGTCAAAGAGAATTTGACAAAGCTGTTCATGTGAATTTTATTTGGGTGGACAACTATGCGTGACAGGTAAGCCCACATCTTGGCCAGAGACACTTCCCTTGCGGGTCAATGGAGATTAAGACAGGTGAGATCTGGCAAACTTGGTTGCATTAGACTGTTGGATGCTTGGTCTGTCAAGTTCTGCCTTGGTTATACCAGCTTAATGTACCTCATATATCTATATGTATGCTTCTAAGATTGCCCAGTTCACACTTTTGAACCAGAGTGGAGATTTATCCCTTGTTTCCTTTTAGGATTGGGTTTCTGATTCTTTCTAAAGTCTTCTTCAACTTTATACTTCTAACATCTCCACCTAAACTCTGAAATTATATTTACTATTTATTTTTTCTCCTCAGTAGGTGTAGATAGGGTTGCTTATTGTGCAGTTCACATATCTTACAGTTTTTTGAACAGGTGTAGAGTTTATCACTTGTTTCTTGTTTAAGACTGGGTTTCTGGCTCCTAAAGTCTTTTCATTCTCTTTCACTCCCAGTAGCCCCATTATCACCTTGTTTGGGATGAAAATGATTTTAAAAAAGATTCAGTAATTGCCAGCTTTGCTTTATATACATATTCATTTTTGTGCATACATATATATGAACATTCATTTTGTTCTGTCTGAGATGATGTGATAGCAACAATAAAAACGAGGACAATAGACTGCATGTAAATAATTAATTTTGTTGCAATGTTTTTTAATGCTTTGCTTTTCAATTTTAATAGTGTGGTACGATTACTGGTACAAAAGGAAAATTCCATAGTGAAGAGTGAAGATGAAGATTCCAATACTCCCCTTCATATTGCTGCTATTCATGGTCACGACATGGTGGGGGAAATTCTTCTTGAATATGGAGCTGATGTTTGTGCTAAGTACTGAAATTCATTTCTTTTATCTGATGAATATGATTATAAACGTGTCATCTTTCCTGGAACCCAAATAATTCAATGGCCCAAAATAGACTTGGCACTTGGTGTTCTTCAGAGAAGCCAGGTACAGGGTTGAGCTGAGAGATAATTTCCTAGACAGGGATAGGGATCTGTGATTCACTCAATGTCATTGGCTGTCTCATATACTTATAAAGCTACTCTAGACACGGGTCAGCTGAAAAGATCATTAAGGAGTGATGCTAGTGCTATAAAATCTTGCAGGCATTAATTTCAACTCTCAAACTGCATTGATTCTTTTCAGGTCAACTGACAGCTGACAGTTCAAAGAAAATTTCAAAAGTAACTAGTAGCAAATTCTCATGAAAATGGACAAAATTTGGCATCATGGTGTTATCAATGCTTGCATAAAAAGGGTTTTAGCCCTCACAGACATTCATGCTGACATAGTTGCTACATTAGTGGATTATGTATATACACACATATATATATATATATATATATATATATATATATATATATATATATATATATACAAACACACATGTGTATATATATATATATATGTATACATACACACACACATACTAACTGAATTACTCATGCCTTGCTGCATGTCACACATTTTTTGTAAGAAGGTGAAAAATGATGCATTTTAATATTACTCAATGTGTTTGCCAGTGTGATCTCCATCTTCTGGCTTTCTCCTTCTATATTTTGGATAGGAGTCATTCCCTTGTTCAAATTTAAATTTAATTTAAATCAAAGGGAAAAGATTTCAGTGTGTGGGTGGGGTTATACCCACCAAGGACCTGCTTTGATCAAAATAAAATATACTTATCCAAGTACCCTAGGAGTTGTTCCCTTATTCAAATTTAAATTTATGTCAAAGAGAAAAAAAATTTTAAATTTAATTTTGGCTACAAAGCACCATTTTAGCCATTTACATATAGAATAAGATCAGACATTTTATATAAACATAATCCCATTAAATGTTTTGTGTAAAAATTTTATTTTGAGTTTTTTAAGTTTAATTGTTATGTAAACTGTTACTTATTCTTTAGTACTCAGTTCATATTTTTAATTGTTAAGTTGATGGTGTTTTTTCTTCTGCAGAAACAACAAATTGTGGACACCACTTGATTGTGCAGCTGCAAAAGGAATGACAAGCATTGCACAAGTTCTTTTAGATAATGACAGTCCTGTGGATCCAGCTGACAAAACAAAGGTAGATGTTTTTTCTCCTTAATTTAAAATATAGATGCACATTGTTTGCTTTTGATTTTGTCAACTACACAGTATAGTAGGGTCAGTTGGGCACTGTCTTTGAGAAAAAGAGCACCATGATGCAATTCACTCCACCAGAAATTTGGAAGCTGCTTGCTGTACTGCTTGCTGTACTGCTTGGCATTCATGCTGGAAGATTCAATATGAACATTTCTGAGTGTTTGGGTTAAAATTTGAGGACAGTGCAGAGGATTCAGAAAGAGTTGGGTGAGTTTAATGGTGATTATCAAGGTGTTTGGAGTGATCACTAATGATAGTGATGTTATGCCTCCATTCAACCTCCCACAGGACCTTGGAGGCCTACATCAAGTGCCTTGAGGAGGTAGTGCTGCCCTGGGTCAAGAGGGTGGCTGCTGAAAGACCTTATATCTTGCAACAAGACTCAGCACCATGCCCCACAAGCTAGAGAACCCAGTCATGACTGTCAGACAATTTCTGCAACTACATCACCCCTTATATTTGGCCACCTAACTCCCCATACTGCAACCTCCTTGATTATGTGTGGGGTGCAGTTGAGTGAGAGACCAACAAAACTCCTTGTAAGACCAAATATGAACTGGAGTCAAGGATTATGGCAGCATTCACCAATTTAAGCAAGGAGAACATAGAAGAGTTGCACAAGGTTCCAAAGTCATCTGGAGGCCTTAGTTCAAGTCAATGGTGATTTTATTGAATAATTTTACTCTTTCATATTTCAAGATATTTTTGTGTAATTTTGGTAAATATATCTGTCAATATGAGTGTTATTTTCATTTTTTGCATAATTTAGATGGCAATTTATCCATCGCACCCTGTATATGAAAATTTCTTTTCATATTTATTTTTCTGTAAAATGGTAAATAATATTTTATATTAATAATAAATATAGATTTTTCCTCACTGATAGCACAACTCATACACAACACAGTCTTCAGGTGTTGAGTTAAAATTGACCGTTACATAATTTAAATTTTGAAATATATATATATATATATATATATATATATATATATATATATATACATACCAGACTATTGTAATTGTGAGCAGTACATATTATTTACGATATTTGTTTTTGAAAAACTTTATTTTTAAATATTTAAAATAAGTATAACCCAATCCCCCACCCTCACCCTCAATGCTTTTGTCTCTGTCCATAAAAACACCTTCAGTTTTCCTGAAGGCACTCAAGTAAGTAAAATTTCTTCCTTTGTTCATTCATTCAAATCATAGTTAAAAAAACAAAAACGATTTCAACTCAAATGCATATACCAACTAAAAAGATGCTTCTAGTAATATATGAATGAATACAAAACTGTTAAATTAGAAAACAACTTATATGATTCTTATATAATTTCTTTTATTTTTATTTTAATTTTCTTGTAGATGACACCACTTCACCTTGCATCCCAAGGTGGTCATTCTCGTATGGTGACTCTTCTTCTTGACCATAATGCCAATATTGGACAATGTGATTCTGATGGAAACAATTGCTTAGATTTGGCCATTGATAACAATCATCCGTAAGCCATATTCATTTTTAATATTAGTCATTTTTTTTCCTTTTTTACACAATTTTGAGAGAATTGTGTTCATCATTTAAGATAATTTTAAGTTCATGGATGTTAGTTTTAATGAAGAAAATAGGCAATAGGTTTTGTTTTTGTGGGCTGTACAAAGTTTTAAATATGAAGTTTTGATGAACTGAATATGTGTGCAACAGCAAAGTTTCAGAGAAAATGGAAACAAAAAGAACACTTCAGAAAGAGACAGTTTAAATTTATAGAGCAAATAATGAGGAAAGTGGGCTTGGAAAATTTGATACTTACAGAACAGATTGAAAGTAAGTTGAACAGAGGAAAACATCACATAACCTATCAAGCAACCTTGTGTTGATGGATAGCAGAATGGAGTTATGGGGAGAGAGCAAAAAAGGAAAAAGTTTATTAAGAGGTACAAAAGACAGGAAATAGTGGAGAGCCATGATTGCCAAAGTCCTGAAGTAAAACGTCACATAGATGTTAAGAGAGTTATACAGTATTTTTGAGAAGTGTTTTTGTCATTTTATTATTATAATACTTTTTCAATAATATCTTAGTAAATACCTACATTAGAGTAAAGGTTTATAAGCTGTAAAATACCAATCAATCAAATTTACATTAGAGTGAGTGTATTGGCTGCATTTTCTGTTGCATTTGCAGTTGCTGGTTTTCTATGAATGTGCTGTTTGTCAATAGTGTATGTGTGTATTATGTATAAAATTTAAATATGTGCAAGTGTTTGATAGAATGTGATTATTATTTTTTTTTTGAGTATTTATATTTTGAGCATTATTGAAGCATATAAAGAATAGAATCAAAATTAATAGCAACATGTACTTGTTTACCCCAGATACATAATATAACTATATTTTCTACATTCATCTGCAAATATTTTTGTGTTTGCTCATCACATCAAGTAGCTTAAGTTTTCTAAAGTTACTGATATTGCTGGTATTCAGCCATTCAATTTTATCATCACTTTGTCTCTTAGTCAAATAGTGGATTTCCCTAGTCATTTCTCTAATAAATCTGATCAACATTCTTCTTTACTTGATTTGTTCATTAGCTCCTTTCTTAGCCTCTGTCGATCAACAAAACTCTGTTCTTTTGGCAATTTCCTCTATTAACCTCATTCTGCTCAGGACTGCAATTTATTAAATAACATTTCTGATAATATAGAAATTGTTCTCTCTCTACATTTATCTGCAAATATTTTTGTCTTTGGTGATTTTAATGCTCATCATGTCAAGTGGCTTAAGCATTGTAACATTACTGATGTTGCCTGTATTCTGACTTTTCTATAAATACATTCCTGGTAATTTTTCTGATGAACTTTGCTCTATGGTACCTAGACTTTATGAATCTAAACACAGTACTAGATTGGCAGCAATGCCTCCACATTTTATAGTTGGAATGGCTAGACACAACCATAAGTTCAATGCTAACAGTTTCTTTTCTTGTACTGCTTGCTTATGGGACTATTTTCAGGCTTTTTGCTTCCCAGTCAATTTTGATCTTCAAAATTTAAATGCAATGTTAATTGTTATCTTCTATTTTCTTAATCCTTGCTTTTTTTTTTTATTGTCCTATCTCCTTAATAGAGGCATGGTGGAGTAATGGATAGTGGCTTGGATTGAGAAATTGGAGAGCAGATTTCAAATTCCAGTCAAATCTGTTAAATTCCCTTATGTGCTAATACCCTTGGGAAAGGTATGATGAATCCTCTTCTCCCCCTACCTATGGGTAAATAGTAGGACAGACCAAGTTCTATAGCCTTGGATGGCAATTAGTCTACCACAGAAACCTACTGTGGAAAAAATCTGCCTCATCAGTCATGTATCAAAAGATACATGATATCCTAAGTGTGTATCATGCATGGCACATAACTGACTATCACCTTAATAATGTTTTTTATTATATTCTCTGAATCTTTTTGTGATTTTGCATATAACTCTGTCTATAGTTTCTCCTATCATCTCTAAACTTTATTTGCACTAAACATGTGGACTTAATGATATCTCTGTAATTGTCCTTAAGAGATGTGCCCCTAAACTGGCTCCTGTCCTACTATAGATGATTTACTAATTCTTGCTTTCCAGATTGTTAGAAATTCCCTTTTGTAGTTCCTATTTTTAAGAACTCTGGAGAACGATTTGATATTTCAAACTATTGACCTATTAGTCTTCTACTTCTCTTTGGTAAAGTAATAGAGACTCTAACCAACCCTGTATTGGTTAAACATTTCACCCTGCAGGGTATTCTTTCAAATAAATAATAAGGCTTTTGCTTCTCTTGGTCAACTACCAATGTATTGGTTATTACTGAAAGATCATGTAAAGCTGTAGATAAGAATGGCAAAGCTTGGGCCATTGCTTTATATATTTTAAAGGTGATTCACATGGTATGGTATGCTGGTATTCTTTAAAAATTGAAGGGTTATGGAGTTTCTGGCCATTTCTTTGATTTTATTCTATCTTTCTTATCAAACCACATAATGAAATTTATTTTGAATGGCCGCTAAGTCATGACTCTCATCACTTTCCTGTCTTTTGTACCTCTTAGTAAATTTTATCTTTTCACTGTCTCTTCTAATCCATTTTATGCCAACTGTTCACTCAAGCTCATTAGGCAGGTTATGTTCAGCTTTCCTCTGTTTCTGCTGTTTTCAATATGTCCTGTGAGGGTCAAATTTTCTAAGCCCACTTTCCTCATTATGTGCTCCATGAATTTCAACTGTCTCTTTCCAATGTTATGCATAAGTGTCCCTTTTGTTTCCAGTTTCTCTAGAACTTTGTTGTACTCATATATTCAGTCCGTTGATAGCATCCGTCTGTAAAACTTTATTTCTGTTACCTGAAGTCTCTTCTTCATCTGTAATGAGATTGTTCGGTATTCACTGCCAATTTTTTTTATAAGCAACTTATTTATAAGCAACTGTACTCAGATTTTTACTAAATCTTAAGGAACTCTACCAATGATACCAATGTGACTTCAGTCAATTAAGTGCTATGCTTGATAAACACTTAGGCAATCATGTCTCTTACAATTCATGAGTAACTAGGCAGAAGATGTTTTCCCGAGTAAGTTGTCATTTCATTCAGCAGTAGACTGGTTTCCAAGCAAGTCTATATAACCCAGTCTGGATTGCTATTCAACCCATAGCTAGGGGGAGAAGAGACAAATTCATATCTCTCCCAAGTATTTTTGTGTGTAAGTGAATGTAATAAACCTAACGAATTTGAACTCTGCTCTCTGAATTCTCATGCTGTGCCATTATCTATTACACCATGCCACATATCCAGGGGCAAACAAAAAAGAAAAAAAAGATAAAAGTAAAATTAAATGAAAAGAGTTATTATTATTATTTTAGATGATATTCAAGAATTCTATCAATTCTACTAATTTACTTGTACTGAAATATATTTTTTTATTTATTTATTAGACCCAAGTATAAAAAATTTAAGCAACCACTTAAGTAATTTGAGTACTAATTCTTGTGCAAAAATAAAGTAGCCTGAGTATTAATCCAAATTATAAGTTGCTTATAAAAAAAATTTTATAATTTGATTGATCCAAAACCTTTTTTGATTAGTGCATTCCATATATATATTATTGTAACATTAATAGTATATTTTTACAATGTTGTATCTTCAGTGATGTTGCCATGCTGCTTATTAACCATGAGAAATGGGAGGATGTGATGCGAAATGAAACCATGGACCTTCTGTCAGGCTGCCGTCAGACACCGATGAGAAAATTAATCCAGAAGATGCCAGGTGTGTTTATCATTGTTTCTGTTCTATTTTACTGGTTGTAACAATGACTTTCTTTACTTTTAGATAACTTTGAAATTTTATTTCCGTTGGCGATGCTAAGTCAGATTGAGTAGGTTCACTGTAAAGAATTAAAAAAAATAAACTCAAAATCTCTCTGTGTGTGCTTTATCTTAAATCAAAGTGTCACACCCTGGTCTTCTGCCTAGGACTAGTATAGTGTCTGAGAATGCGATAAAAAGTGATACACACACATACTTAAGCACTTCGATGTAGTGTAACAGCAAGTTTGTCTTGTAGGGATACAAAGAGCAATTGTTTCCCTTTCATTGAGATAGTCACGAGAGTCACATGACTTCTACATAAGCTCCACGGCTACTGCATTACAAAACAATTGTTAAGTCAGTCATTCCTATCAAATTGTGAAATGAAGGTTGTTTTGAATAAGCTCATTTCAGATCCTTTCTCATGAACTCAAGTGTCTCTCAAGGATTTGTCCTGGGCCCTACACTGTTTCTGACCTTCATCAATGATTTTCCTGATGTTATCATTTCCCAAGTAGATGCTTATGCAGATGACTACCATTTACTCATGTTTCAATAGCAAATCTGTCAGAGCTGACAGGGTTAACCTGGCTGCTGCTCTTGAATAGGACCTCCAATTAGTAGCTAACTGGAGGCATGAGATGGCTTGTAAATTTTAATGCCCCTTAAACTAAACTACTCTCATTTAACCACCATAGAGTAACTTTCCTGCCTGACATCAGCATGGTTGATGTTAGACTCCTGGAGAGCAACACACTGTGCCTTCTTGGCCTCACTTTTTCAAATGACTTGAAGTGGAACAATTGAATCAATACCTCACATCTACTGCAAGTAATATTGGGTTGATGTGTCATTTCAGAAGGTTTCACTCATCAGAATCCATCTTGCACATTTACAAATCTACCATTTGTCCATGCATTGAATGCTGCTGTCATATCTGATCTGGTGCTCCTGATATTCCTGTTGAGGTTTTAGACAAACTCCAAAGAAGGATTTGCAATGTAATCAATCCTGATTTAGCATCTAGACTTCAGTCACTTGCTCACTGACATGCCATGGTTTCCCCTCTGTCTTTTCTATAAATATTTTCATGGCAACTGCTTTGACGACCTTTTTTCCCCTGGTACCCCAACTATGTGAATTTAAGCATGCTACTAGTTTGGCATCTAGGTCCCACCCTTTTACTGTTGAAATAGTTAAATGTAACTGCTACTTCTACCCTAACAGCTTCTTTTCTCGTACTTCCCACCTGTGTAATTCCCTTCCATTTACTTGCTTCCTTGAAAACTACAATCTGAAAAAATTTAACTGCAACATCAATAAAATATTTAATGTATTTTCTGTTTATATGTTATTTTCTATTTAAGTAAATACTCTGTCATTTAATTAAACAGTATTAATTAGATTTACCGGACTGAATTTTCAAGAAATTTTGTAGAAAATATCCGTTTTCCAGCAGGAATCAAACTTGCATCTTATGAAGAGCCACCATTAATCCTGGCATGCTGTAACCATTCAGCCACAGAGTATTTCCGGTTAAGCAAAGCACAAATTAATGCTTTTAAACACACACACTCACTGATTTCTCTCAATCTCTTATATCTGCTCTGTATTTGCAAGTTAATAAAAACAATGACAAATATTTAATATATTTTCTGTTAATATGTTATTTTGTATGGATACATTTATTTAAGTAAATGTTCTGTTCTTTAATTAAATAGTATTTATTAGCCTGAATTTTCAAGAAATTTTATTTTGGTTTCACTGAAAATCCTTGGAAATTTTGTTTTTATCATCATTGAATGATCTTAGGTAATATAAAATACAAAAACAGCACTACTGTCTCCAAATATTTCTATGAATTGAAGAATGATAGGATCTCACCATCAATCGACTGGTATATTATAACTAGAGCTAAATCTTTTAACAGGAAAGGAAATAAATGTAACTTGTTGAAAAACACATAAATAACCTTAGCTTATCAAACAAGAGAAACGAATTGATGGTTACATATAGGCATAAAAATAAATATCTGCTCAAATATGTTGATCCAGATTAATTTTTAATATAAATTATGGTCTATTTTTTTAGGTAAATTGCATTTTTTGTTTATATATATATATATATATATATATATATATATATATATATATATATATAAAAAAGAACAAGTATTCTCGCTTTTAATAATAAAAATCGATATTCACCACTGTAAAATAATAAAAAAATCTGTAATTTTTTTGTCTTCTATATAATAAATGCAAAAATGTGCCACACTTTTTCAGTTAAAGGGATGCAACTCTCTGAAAAATTCTTACATCTGGAGCCATATTCAAATACTCAACCTGAAAACAAACATGAGAGTTAGAATCACAGGTGACTTTGAAGCAGGAAGATTTGCTGATTTGCTGTTGCAGCTTTGCAATGGAACCATCAAAATTGACCTGAATGGAGATATTTCACTCCCAAATAATTGTGGACTTTTAGTGTTAAGTATCCAAGACTTGATTAACTATGTTTATCCAAACATTAAACATCATTTCATGAATTCAAACTGGCATTGTGTGATCTCTATATTAGCTTCCAAGAATCAAACTGTAGATAGCATTAACTGGAAACCTCTCCAAGAAATTCCAAAAGAAAGCATGAAGTACTTTTCCATTGACACTGTGGTTGAACAAGAACAGGCAATGAATTATCCAATAGGGTTCCTTAACTCACTGAATCCTCCTGGAATTCCATCACAAAAGCTGGAATTAAAAAAAAAGGTGTCAGTTCTACTATTGAGAAATCAGGATCCTCCAAAGCTTTGTAATGGAACAAGATTAATTGTAAAGAAGATGCTTCCTCATCTCTTGGAAGCAGAGATCCTTACTGGTCCAGGAAAGGAGGAAAGAGTTTGAATTCCAAGAATACCTTTAATTCCTCCAGATCTTTTTTTGTTCAAAAGACTTCAGTTTCCAGTGAGAGTGAGCTATACAATGTCAATCAATAAGTCTCAAGGACAATCACTGAAAGTAACTGGTCTTCATCTGATGGAATCCTGTTTTTCTCATGGCCAGCTCAATGTTGGTTGTTCAAGGGTTAGGAATGGAAACAAGCTATTTGTACTGACCACTATTGGGAAAACCAAATAAGTTCCAAATAGACAAATCATATTGTTTTGATGAAAACAGTTGTTTGAAAAATATTGTTCAATTTTAATAAAATTTAATATATACTCAATGCATGAAGTGTCATTGTTGGGTTGAAGGCCCAATCAAGAGCCGTCTGCAGGAGCTAGCTTAAATGCTGCCCAATAGGGTGGCTTTTAAGCTAGTATACATATATTTACAAATCCTGTTTATTTCAAATGTCGAATATAATTTTTAAAATTAAAAAACTATAATCCCAATATATCTACATCAACATTACGATAACCAGATATAATTTTTAAAAATCAAATTGCATAATGGCCAGTTTATCCTCAGCACCTGAAGTTTGTGCATGAAACTTTGAATCATGTTATTGGTGAGTAATAATATGTATATTAATATATACTAAATAGTTCTGTTGTATTACATTGGGCACTGTTATATTAACACCAGCACTATATGTGCAATCTTTATCTATAAAAGGCAGGATGTGTGTGTGTGTGTGTGTGTGTGTAATGAATGCACGGTCACAATTTTTGACGGATTTGCACCAAAATTTACATGCACATGCTCCAAGTTAGTAGAAAGGTCAAGACTGACTTTGCATTTCCCAACTCCCATTGATAGTGTAAATAATTGATTTTTTCATGCTTCTACGGCAATTTTCATGTGGTTTGCAGCCATTTTGTACTGGCTAGAGTGAGAGCCTATAGCTGGCTGTCACGAATAGGCAGGAAGACTCTATTGGCCAGTGTGAGAGCCAACAGCTGACTGACATGAATGTTAACTAGCATGCTAGCAGGCAAAATAAATCGATAGCTGCACTCGTCACAAGTGGGAAAAATTTAAATCTGCATGGCACTTTACTCCAATTGGCTCATTTACTTGCTTAAACTTAATGTTGATTCTGATTCCACAGAACTGGGTTGGGTGTGAAAAAAGTATATGTTGTTAACATTCTTTTTTCATTTGGTTTTTCCAGTTACAGGTCCTTTTTTAAAGCCGATCGTTTTGTGTTCATTTTGTTTAGTTCTTTTTTCGTAACAGATTTAATGTTTAGTATAGAGCTTAGAAAAAATTTGCAGTGTGAGATAGGCAAGAAGTAAGGCATATAGCAACATCAGCACGGCAAAGGGCACTCCTTTAAAGGCAAGGAAGGGCCAAAATATTTTAAGTCAAGCAATAGCGATTGCTGTATGAGTTGTACGATTTTTGAATCAAGCACGGGCAACGCCGGGCCATGCAGCTAGTATTAATATATACTAAATAGCTCTGTTGTAGTACATTGGACACTGTTATATTAACACCAGCACTATATGTGCAATATATTATAATTATATTATATATATAGATGTGTGTGTGTGTGTGTGTGTCTAAAAATTCAGATATAAATAAAATATATCTGTAAAATGACTGAATAAAAAGAAAAGGAAAGCATCTCTATACCAAAATCAGAAGATGACATGCATTGGTAAAGAAAAGTTTTACTTTTGTCTTTATTTAATCTCACACACACACACACACACACACACACACACACACACACACACATACATGCACATGAAAGTGATGAATTTTTTTATTTATTAATCTGTCAGATTTTTATTACTTAAACTTTATTTTTAGTGTATACTCATATATCCACTAAAAATCATATTTAAGTAATATAGTGATATGGTGACTGGTATGGCATTTATATACATCATGTATATAATGTGTTAAAAATTCACTTTCTCTGTCATATGCTGATAGCATACAGGTAAGGGTCTCTGACTGATGCCAAATCAGTTGAGTTTCAATCCTGGCTTGAAGCAATTGGATGTCTAGCTACATTGATGAGCTGTGATACAGTGAAACAGTTTGTCTGTGGATGGCAATATATATATATATATATTATAATTTTTTCGTATAGACAAAAACAATTTACTCGCTACAAAATGCAACCTTGTTTCGGTGCGTTTAGTTGCACCTTGACTGGTGAGAACCTAAATGGTTATGAACAATTTTCTAAATGCACTGAAACAAGGTGGCATCTTTGTAGTGAGTAAATTGATTTTGCCTATATGAAAATATTATAATAAATAATTATTGCTCTACTCTTGGTATTGAGCCTTCTTTTTAATTAATGCTGTGAATATATATATATATATATATATATATGGTTAGTGTGTTTTATAGAATAGATTTTCTTTTTCATTAAAAGTATTTTCTTTCTTGTTTTTATTGTTGTAGAGGTTGCAGGAAGCGTGCTTAACCGATGTATAACCTCAACAGGTGATTCTGCCAGTAAAGACCGCTGCATTACATTCAATTATGAATATTTGGATGATACATACATTAGTTGGGAAAAATCAAAATCAAGTGACACAACATGTAAGTATTTCTCTGATTAAATTGCCCTATTGTTGCTATGTTGATTGCTATTGTTGCTATGTGATAACCTGTTATCCATAGTTTCAGTTATTCACAGTCAACCCTCATCTTCCTCAGGGTGAGCTGATTGCATAGATCCTCACAGTTCTCTTTCCAGTTGTCACAATTATTTATTGCACTTTATAGGTCATCAGGATGCCACCCCATGTCTTCAGATATTTCCTAGGTGTATGTATTGAATGGGTGGCCAATGCTATTGTGTCCATGTTTTTGTGTCCACAACAGAACATCACTGGTAAATTCATTATTACCTGTCCAGAAATGATCCCTAAATCTTATTCTTGCTTTACCAAATGACTTGAGACATGTGTAGTAGATTACTATAGAGTTGTTTTTTTTTTTGCAGGGTACTGTTTCCAGGGCAGATTCAATGCAACATATGGCCACTTTGTATACATATTGTCTAGCTTCTTTTCCAATCATTTTGTCAATGTCCATTCAGTGCTATAATAGAGCACAACAGTTATAGTTATGGCTTGGAAGACGTTTCAGTTCTTTTTATCTGGTAAATCAGATTTCCAGACTATTTTTATAGTAACTATTTTTACAGTAATTTTTATAGCATTGTAAAGTAATAGTATTTCCAGATTATCGACAGCTTGTTCATTGCAGATTAAGCTTTGCCAATGGGAATATTCACATCATTTTAAGTGGAAGTGAGGACAGCCTGAGAGATAAAAATTTTCTAAATTGTGCTTGGTAATGGTCCCAAAAAGCAATTGTTGGAAATTGAGATATAAAAAAGAGAAACCATAATGGTAATATTAGGTTGTCCCAAAAGTTTGTAAACACTTGCGAAAAATTGAATTTTTATGCAACACAATCCAGCACAATCAAGACAAACGATGGGTTCAGAAAGGGCAAGAGACACCGTCGATTCCAAAACAAGATCGATTCGGCAAGAAAATCATGTTGTGCGTTTGGTGGAACTTTGAAGGAATCGTGCATTTTGAGTTGGTTGCCAATGGTCATGCCATCAGTGCCGAACTTTACTGTCAGCAACTGGGCGGGTCTCTTAAAAGTTGAAGCAAAAGTACCCGGCTCTGATCAACCAAAAGCACGCTTTGATGCAGCAGGACAATGCCAAGCCACACCGCCAGGAAGACCAAAGACAAGTTTGAAGAGCTGGACGGCGTTGAGGTTCTGCCACATCCAGCCTACAATCCTGACTGTGCTCCATCAGATTACGGCCCTTTTCCGCTCAATGCAACACTTTCTGAAGGGCCCCGATTCAACTCGTTTGATGAAGTCGAGGAAGCATGTCAAGAATTCTTTGATTCGAAGTCGGCTGAATGGTACTTTCACCAGATCCGAAAGCTTGCAGATCGATGGCAGAAAGTCTTGGAAAATTATGGTCTTTATTTTGAGGAATAATTTTTGTTGTTTTTGTTATTACTTGGCGAGTAAAATTTCAATTTTTTGCAAGTGTTTACGAACTTTTGGGACAACCTAATAACATGCGCAACATGCTTCTTTACTTGATTTGTTCCTTACCTCCTCTCCTAATTCTTGTCAAGCATCATAACTTGGTCTTCTTGACAATTTGGATCATGCAATAGTATCTGTTGATATTTCTTTTGTATTGTCTATTAAAAAGGCACATCCTATTCACAAGACTTCTTTCTGCTACCAGCATACTGATTGGGATTCATTTTGTGACTTTCTTTGAAATACTCCTTGAATATATATTCTTAAACTTTCTACTGAGAATTGTGCCGCAAAGATTTCTTCTTGGGTTAAAGTCGGCATTAATGCTTTTGTTCCTTCTCACAAATATCAGGTGGAACCACAATCTTCTTAGATTACACCAGCCTGTTCAGCCATTATAGCCCTGTTATAGCCTAAGATCTGTTAAAGGGAAATTGAACTCTTTTTGTCAATGGTTATTAAGCACTAAAATTTCCTTCTGAGCACCCTTCACAGGACAAAATCTAGGTGAGATAAAGGTAGACCCAAACTAATATATAGTGTCTGCAACCAGAACAGCTGGTAGTTGTCTTGGACTTTCATTGCCACTAGAATTCAGCTGTTCCGGACAAGATAGTTCTGCTGGTTGTAATCACATACCTGTTCCTTGTACTTTAATCTTTTCTGAACTATTTCTTCTCTAACTTGTCAGAAATATTGTGCCTCTAAATTTGTACTGAAAGGTCATATAAGCAGTATAAGCTCAAATGTTCCAGAATTCAAACCAATGATGCCTAAATAAAAATGTCATAATGGATAATGACGTATTATCTTTGATGTTATAAAATGGTTTTATTTAAATTGATCTAATTTTGGTCAGGTTCACATTATATTTATTAAAATTGTTTTGATCAGGTATTCTGAGTGATTGGAAGCATCACTTGACATTGCCCTTATTACAGTCTATGTATCTTATATTTTATTTATTGCTTAGAATGACTTAATTAGGCACATTTAGAGAAATCTTATACATTGGCAAAAATTAAACCACAACTTTAAATTATAACTTGCGTGCCTATTAAATCAAGAGAGATAACTCTTTTAACTCAAGGGAGATAATTCATTTAATAAATGCTAAAATAACATAATTAGGACAGACTAATTAAATTAATTTAATGATATTTAACTTTGTTAAAATTTTAGTCTCACTGATAAGAGAAAGTTCTAAAAATATATATAAGGTTCTTTGACATATCCATACACTAATTTAAATTTAAAAATTATTAACTGAAACAAACAACTTCTTGCAATGATTCTGGATAGCTATTTGTATTTTTAGTTTGAAATGAGTTAAAACGGTGATTCTCAACTGCCATGCTGTGTTACACATGATCTTAAGTGTGCCATGAAATATTGGCATGGCATACATATGTGTGTGTGTGTGTGGAAGTAGTAATGGTACAGCATTAGTATTGGAATAAATGAATAAGTATTAAACTTTTTTGAAATAAATCTTTCACTATTCTTCAATTATTTTTTTTAAATACCTATTTTTAATATTAATTTTTTAAAAAGTAATTTTAATTTTATAATTTATCTTTTTAAAATTTTCCTTTGTTTGAATAAACAAATGTTAACCTTTTTTCATATAATTGTATTCAACATCCTTTGTTTAAATAAAATTTATAACATTTAAACCCTTTAAAAATTTTGCTAAGTTTGCCGTGATATTTTTATTTGCTCCTAGATATGCCACTGCTTAAAAGGGTTAAAATATTAAAAAAAAATATATATATATACAAGCTTATCTCTAACCAAATTTATTATCAATATGTAATTTATTGCATTTTATGTTGTTTTCATCTAATATTTATTTTAAAGTTGCCTGAAGCAGCAGCATTCATCAGTAATTCTGAAATTTCTTTCCTCAGGTCAAAATAGCTTATTTTGCAGTATGGTAAAAATTCAAGTATAAACCAAATTTTTATGACTAATTTTTTATTTTTTTCAGATTCTTATAGTGATGAAGTTAATGTGGTTGATAACTATTATCCTTACACACTAGACATGACACAAATGAAGTCGAACCATCCTTTATATATTATGGTGAGTTTTCCCTCTAATTGGTGTACTATAGAAAAAAAGTTTAAGAAAGGAAAACAGAAAGATAGGTTCTTACATATGATATGTTTCTGGTGAAGATGTATTTCCATAGGAAAAAGGCACCATAGGCTTGTAACCTGCACCATGTGCTGGAGGAGATAGATTTAGCTTAAGGGCTAAGGCCAAAAAATTACTAAAATTTGGGAAAAATCAGAAAATGTATTGCTGGTTATTTTTTTTTTTTCAAAAATGTTTTGCTGATAATAATTTTTTTTTTCCAAAATGTATTATTAATGGTAGTAATTTCTTTTTTTGAAAAATGTATTGCTAGTAATAATTTTTTTCAAAAATGTATTGCTAGTATTTTTACTATAAAAAAACTATTTTTACACTTTCATAGTGATTTGACTCCAGTTTGATAGTTAACTATTTGCCCATAGCTGGGACCCTAACAGGTGCTACCACCTGGGTCAGGGTGGACCTGGGAACAACAATAATTAAGAGGTGGTTCCATGCTCCTCAAAACCTTCTGATCAGAGGCTTTGCTGTCAGATGTAGTTTATCATCATACTCAGGTCGCTAGGATGTTGGAGATTTCAGGAATACAACATTTATAATATAATTTATTCATGAATGTTATAATTAATTGTATTGGTTAATGTAAGAATTTAAACATGATAAACTTGTGAATGTTCACATTGGATGTAGTCATTTTTCTCTGTGAGCAAAAAATAAAAATGAAATAAAACAAAAGCTAAAATAAGGGTAGTCATACCACTCATTCTAAATTATTTATAATAAGATTTTTTGTTTTTATTTTGTAGGTGGACAATAAACAGGTAGACTTGTTGGCTCATCCTGTTGTTATTCAACTGATGAACTACAAATGGTATTCCTTTGGAGCTGTCTTTTACTACCTAAATTTTTTTATCTATGCAGTTTTTTTGGCTTTTTTTACTGGATATATCATACAAGCAAATCCACCAAAATTGTAAGTCTTTGAATTTGTGCTTGTTTTTTGTCTTATCAAAATATTATTGTTGAAAAATATGAAAATAATAAATTATTTATTTACTTATTTATTTTGGCTATATCTCTCCTGGATCATTGTTTCCAATTCACATTGGAATGATTTCACCTCCACCAAATTTATAGGCAAAACACATAAATGCATGTTGGGATTTTTTTCTAATCAATAAAATAGGCCACTTCTCGGTTTCATCCGACTCAGTTCTGCTCTTTATTGTCTTGAAGCCAGAACACTGTGATCACTTGTCTGTATCTGCCTTTGTGTGTTAACATCATTCTTAGTTTAAATTTTTATCTTACTACTCTTGCTTTGCTTTTCATATATTTTTTGTTCAATATTATTTTTGCCATGTTCTTTTCTTTCTCTTGTTACTGTTTATTGAAAACTTTGTAAATTCTGTGAATTATGATGACTTCTTTGTAATAATAATAGAATGATTTTTTGTTGCCTTCTCCATGGTTTTGAATTAAGAGTTACCACCAAAAGCTAGAGAGTCCAGTCTACCCTGTTATTTAACTCATAGCTGGGGAAGAAGAGATGGCTTTATACCTTACACGACAATATTTGTGTGAAAATAAATGCAACAGGATTTGTTGTAGTTTGAACTTGATTCACCAATCTCCCTTTCTGTCCAATGTCCACTATATGACATGCATATCTGTGAATAATATACATATTGTAAAGTAAAGCTCTTAGCCTCATTCCAACACACACACACACACACATGTATCATCTGCTGATGAGTCCCCAAAATAGGATGAAATGGCTGTCCAGTGTTTTCTGCATTCTGTTGAGTATTCTCCTAGACTCAATGAATTACTATAATGATTTGCCTAAATCCCCAAAATTCTATTACTTGTATTTCCTTGCTTGAGCCAGCTAATGCTCTGCAATGGACCGGTTCATGGGAAAGGAAAGTCACCACCCTTGGGGCACAATCCGTTGGGTTATGAATACTTGGGTGAGTATCACCAAGGAATTTCTGAGTAGCAGCGCTATATCGAGTCTAACCAGTTTCTTCTTCATCACTGAGGCCATTTGGTACAGATGACGCTTGCATTGTATTGAAACAGTTCAGGTTCGAATCTTGGTAGTGGATGTGCTATTGCTGATGAGTCCCAAAAATAGAATGAAACAGCTGTCCAGTGCTTTCTGCATTCTGTTGAGGATTCTACTAAACTCGATTAATAACTATAATGAGATATATATATATATATAAATATATCGGTATTAACTTTGTATATAATGTTTTTTTCTTTTTCACTGTATCTCTTAAATGGTATTAGTAATAGTAATGTTAGCTGTTTCCTTATAAGGAAACATTCAGTATTCATTGACCGAGTAGCCAGCATCACTGTCAGTTGAAAATTATAAAATGTTATTGTTAAAACAATTTTTCAGGAAAACTGTCTAGTAACTGTTATTACTCTTTACAGTATTGATGAGAGTTTCTTTTCTAATTTTTTCTTTGAAGTAGTGTGAAAAATCAACATGATGATTATGCCATTGTTTGCTATTTGAATTACATGTACTATCCATTAATTTGTTGCTGCTGTTAAAAGTCCTCATGTAATGTTGTTTCTGTTCTTCAGTATGCTTTTTTTTGTGATTCTCTAGTCCCAGTTGATGAAGTTCAAAAATGGATGGTCCTCACTAAAACCTACTTGTTTCATTCATTCTAAGCCATTTTTAATCATTGATCTGATTTATTAGTTGTATTCAGCTGACAGTTTAGCTATTTCTGAACAAATTTTGTGCCATGCATGATATCCCTATGAAAGTTTCAATTTGATGAAGCTATTTAAAAACATGGCTTGAGTTTTTAGGTTAATGTTTTGTAACAACTTGTAGTATTGTGTGAAACTACTCCAAAGGGATATTCTATGTAGTAACCATTCATAGAGATTATTACCATCAGTCTTAATCTTAATAGTACAATATATGAAGATGACACTATGCTGATGGATAGGAAAACTGTAAAAAAATTCCTAGATATGGTAGCAAAGAAATGCAAGATGAAAGAACTAATTATAAGAAGACAGAATATATGGTTATTGGTAAGATAGGCAGTCAAAAGTGTGAGCTTTGAATTGGAGACATTAGATTCAAGCAAGTACAGAAATCTAACTATCTGGGCAGTATAGTAAAACTCATTTAATTAAGAAAGAGAGTTTGGAAAATTTAATGCTTACATGACTTATTGAAAGATGCAGGTGTTAGAAAGAAGCAGTAAGTAACCTATCAAATGAGTTTAAGTCAATGGATGGCAGGGCGGGGACAAAGAGTGATGGTAAAGAGTCAAATATTGCTTAGCATAACAAGAGACAAGAGATTGTGGAAAGCTATGATTGGTTGCTGTGAAGGGACATGGTACATGAAAGAAGAACCATTCTTAAAGTATATCTGTATATTTTAGTATTTCAATCATTATATCTCCATATTAAGGTGTATTCAATTTTGGTTTTAGCATTCTCTTGTAAATTTTTAAAAATTATTTCACCTCAAACAAGGTGATAAAGCCACTAAGATGCAAGGGATTGCTGAGTGTTAGAGAGTATGAGATAAAAACTATTAAGGAGAAAGAACAATAAAAGAACAGAAATTAAGAAGAAAGAATTGCATTACATTTCAATTTTTGAAGATCAAAGGAAGCAAGAAGCTGGAAGACAATTCTGAAAGCAAGAAGTGTGATAGAAGAAACTGTTAGTATAGAACTTACAGTTACATCTAGCCACCTTAATAGTAAAATGATGATACCTAACCACCAATCTAGTATTGCGCTTAAATTCATAAAGTCTAGGTATCATAGAGGAAAATTTATCAGTACAATTACCATGAAAATATTTATAGAAAAGGGACAGGGAAGCTAGGCTACAGAGATGGGAATGAAGATGGGATGCCAGGTCAGGACCAATAACATTGCCAATTTTTCTTTGGATTTTATCAATGACCTCTGAATATATAGCAGGATCATTAGACCATATGTGGCAGCTATATTCAAAGCATGGATGAATGGTAGATTTATAGATATGTAAGATAGTTTGGAGGGAAAAATTGTCTAGCACAACACAATGAATCAACTATCTTAGCAGTAGACTTAGGAACTGATTCAATATAATTTTTTCAGTTCATGTCAGTAGAGAAAGTTAGCCCAAGAACGTGGAATGAGTCACTCTCCTGGAGGCTAGCATTTGCCATACTGATAGGAGACAGAAATAGGTCTTTTGGATGAATCATAGAAAGCAGTTTTGTTTTGGAGGCATTAAAATTAACAAGCCATTCATTACCTCAGCTAACAACAGACTATAGTTCACTTTTGAGATCAGCTGCCAATTTGTCATTATTGAACTGATCAGATTATTAAGGTGTAGGAGTAAATAGTTGTGTCATCTGTATAGATACTGAGTTGAGAGGCATTAGGAAGTTCACTTATGAAAATTAGGAATAATGTAAGTCCAAAGATAGAGCCCTGGGGGTGCCTGCATTAATGCAAAAAGATCTAGAAGAATGGCCATTCAAGATAGCTTTCATTTCATGATTTGATAAGAAAGATTGAAGGTGTCTAAAGCAACAGCTCAAGCTTTATGAGTCTTATATAAAGCTTGACAGAATTTTTCAGCAATAATCATTAATACATCAGTAGTTAACATAGAGAATTGAAACCCATATTGTTTATCTGAAAGAAGACCCTGCAATGTGAGGTGATTAGGGCCTGCAGTACTTTACCAAAAAGAGGTAGAATGCTAATAGGCTGATAGTTAGGATCAAATGGTTCACCTGAGTTCTTAAAAACTGGAATTATAGAAGATGATTTCCAACAAGGAAAGCAAGAAGCAGCAAGACATTTATTGTAAAATTTAGAGAGAACAGGAGCACATTTCTTAAGGACTATTGCAGGGATACCATTGGGTCCACATGCTTTGTGGGGATCCAGTTTAGAGATGATAGCATAACAGAAACCAAGGAAGGAGTTATATGTATATCACTCAACAGAGACTCTGTTTTAAGTGGAAAGTCAGGCAAAGATATTCCAGATGAGTATATTCCAAATAATCATATTTCCATTTCCTTTATTTTAACATCATGGGAAAATGTATTACTTTTTATTATTATTATTATTTATTATTATTGTTATTTTATGTATCGATTTTATTTCATTTTCCCACACATTTTAACTATTCACAATTAAAAGTTTTAAACTCTTCAAAAGATTTTCATTTACAGTTACCTGCCTTGCACCATGACTAAATGCTCTGGGTTTATTGTTTTTTAAATTCTCCCTTGTACTTTTCAATTTAGTTTATGATAAACAGAAAACAACACAAAAATGTTGTTTGTTAGTGGTTTATTCATGTGTTTAATCAAAAATTATTAGCAAAAATATTATTTTCTTGTATTGTTTCTTAAATAAAAATTATTTCTTAAAATTAGATACTGATTTTTGTTTTTTACAAATATAAATATTTAAAATTTAATCCTTCAAACTTCATTTTTCATTCGAATTCTATTCACCAGTTTAAAAAGAAGTGTTGTTTACTTTGTGTGTCTGCATATGTTCCTATACTGAATTTCATTAAAAGCATATCGCTATTGGTGAAAAATATGAACACTTTTGCTTTTTGAATAAATAGGATTTTAAATAAAAATTTCATATTGTCTCCAAAAACATTACCATGACCAGTGGCGTAGCTAGAGTAAATGTCACCTGGGGCGGTCCGCACAAATGTCACCCCAATGACCCTGATTCACCCTATGCTGAATGGTTAGCTGTAGCTAAATTTTCATACATGCTCTACCTCTACTTTACTCTACTGACCGGTACGTTACTGTTTACATGTATGATCCAAGACAAAATCCTATACCACAAAATAATCAGTTCAAATCAAAAGCTGAAAACATTGCTATTTTTCCTACTCACATTTGTGAATGAATGGAGGCATAATGTCGCCATCACTAGTGATCACTCCAAACACCTTTGTAATCACCATTAAACTTAACTAACTCTTTCTGAATCCTCAACACTGTCCTCATATTGACACCCAAACTCTCTAAAATGTTTGTATTGGAGTATCTGGTGTGAATTCCCAACAATTTATTAGAAAATTTCTGACGGGGGAACAAAACTGGGGGGTCATAAATTATTTCTGGGGAGTCATACGCCCGCCTGTGAAACCCTGTGTCTCCACCACTGTTTTCAGACTATTTTTGGCACCTTAGCCTGGTTGAAAAATTTTGTTGTGGGTGACATTGTGTCACCCCTCCTGTGCTGGCACCCGGGGCGGTCCGCCCCCCTCACCCCTGACCATGACATTAATCTTGAGCCATGACCTCTTTCATTCTGTTCATATCTCTGTATAAAAAAGTCCCTTGAAGGTTGTTGAACTTGACTGATAAGAATTGGAGAAGGCATCAGAGTTTTGTTAAAGGTACTAATAATAAGAATATTGATCCACATAAATCATCAAGTAATGATGATACTCTATCATAGAACTTATTTCATCACAGATTTATTCACTCTTTTCTGTTCAATTTTTACAGGAATGTTGTTTATTACAATGGAACCTACTGTGATACATCAAATATTGTAAATGAGAAATTTTTCCCATACTATGGACGTTATGTCATCCTTGGACTTTCTATATTTATGTTATTCCGAGAAGTGAGTAGTTTATTTCATTTCATTTCAATAGATATATTAAAATCCTTAAGCCTATAAGCATTTGATTTGATTCATTCTTTCGCAAACATTGACCTTCATGCCTGCAATAAAACATATCAAAAGGATGGATTTTTCCCTTGACACTGCTATTATTTTAACTACCTTCACTCTTCAGCAATGTTTATTGTTTTAAAAAGTGATGGTTAGAATTGTAATAAAACATAAACCTATGATGAAAGTGAATTTATACATTTTTTGTTCTTGATATTTTACAACAAATATATTAAACACTATTTATTTATTAGATTTTTATATCAACAAGAATAATTTTATATTTACAACATTCTAAAAACTAAGACAATTAGAACAAATGCAATGCAATATTTATCATTTATCAATTTATAAAGAAATAAATATGAAAATTTTTATTCATCAATTTATAAACATTTACTAAGTTATTAAAATATGTGAACAAACTATAAGAGAATCCTTATTTACCATTTAATAAAATTTGAATCAGCCAATGTTTTTCCAACCATTCCAATCTCTATCTATAAAAGGCAGGATTTGTGTGTGTGTGTGTGTGTGTAACGAATGCACGGCCGCAATTTTTGATGGATTTGCACCAAAATTTACATGCACATGCTCCAAGTTAGTGGGAAGGCCAAGACTGACTTTTGCATTTCCCATTGATAGTGGAAATAATCGATTTTTTCATGCTTCTATGGCAGTTTTCATGTAGTTTGCAGCCATTTTGTACTGGCCAGAGTGAGAGCCTATAGCTGGCTGCCATGAATAGGCAGGAAGATTCTATTGGCCAGCATGAGAGCCAACAGCTGACTGACATGAATGTTAACTAGTATGCTAGCATGCAAAAAAATTGATAGCTGCATTTGTCATAAGTAGGAAAAAATTTAAATCTGCATGGCACTTTACTCCAATTGGCTCATTCGCTTGCTAAAACTCAACGTTGATTCTGATTCCATGAACTGGGTTGGGTGTGAAAAAAGTATTTGTTGTTAACATTCTTTTTTCATTCAGTTTTTCCAGTTATGAGTCCTTTTTTAAAGCTGATCGTTTTGTGTTCATTTTGTTTAGTTCTTTTTTCGTAACAGATTTAATGTTTAGTATAGAGCTTAGAAAAGATTCACAGTATGAGATAGGCAAGAATTAAGGCATGTAGCAACATCAGCACGGCAAAGGGCACTCCTTTAAATGCAAGGAAGGGCAAAAATATTTTAAGTCAAGTGATAGCGATTGCTGCATGAGTCGTACGATTTTTGAATCAAGCACGGGCAACGCCGGGCCATGCTGCTAGTAAATAATATAATAAATAGTGTTTATTATTTTTGTTGTAAATTCTCAAGAAAAAAGAAAATGTATAAATTCACTTTCATATATTTAAATATATTTTTTGCTTTTTCCTTTTTCTTTTAAATCATGTGATAAGTATGTATTAATGTGATTTTAAGGGGTTATTTAGATTTCAGTCTTAACAGAATAAAAAAAAAGACAATTGAAATCTTTTGGTTTTAAGACATTCAGCCAGTGGATTTGTAACTATACCGTTGTCTGCTATAGGCCTGTAAAAGTCATCTAACAGGCATTAGATACCTACTAAGTTGTTATATTTTGTGTTCACTCTGGTTGGTATTGGGAGTCAGTACAATATTGGCTGGTTGAGGATTGTGTACTAACATACACATAGAATTTTAAGGGATTTTTTAGTGTGCCCATATCACTACCAAATGTGACACAAGACTGAGGTTTAAAGAGGGTTTACCAGCAATATTGTGGAAAAATTGTTCAAGTCCCCTTTGGCACTTCCCCTTCTGGGGACGCCTCAGACATCATATAAATATTCCAGCCCCCCTCTCAAATGTACTGTTTTGGGCTAATATTAATTTCAATTTTCCTGGCAAAAGCCATGGAATTTTAAGTTATGGCTTATAATGGGGTTTCTTTTTAAATATATTTGCGTCTGTGTGTGTGTGTGTGTGTGTGTGTATGTGTAGATCATCAATCCATATTTTGGGAAAAACCTGGATATTGGAGCAGCAATAAAAAATAATAATAACCACACATTTTACAATGAATAACATTTACTAAAACAATGTAATTTATGTTACAAGAAAGAAAAGATTTTTTTATAGAAATGTAGAATGTGTGCATTTGTTATTTAGAAATGACTTCATGTAGTGTTTATAAGTCACTTACTGTGTGACTCAAAAGTTCTTTCATTGAGCAGTGTATGTTAGACCAGGGCTAGTGTATACTATACCCGAATCCCTTGACCAGGGTTAGGGAGTCTGATTGGTGACCCTGGGCAGTGCTTTTTGACTGTCACTATCTTATCAACATATCATTATGCTTTTTTTCTATCTACATTTATATGCATAAAGTGCAACTGAAAAAAAGTTGAAAAATTTTCATGGATTTTGATGTCAATCTGGGAACTTTTTTTTTAATCCAAATCTGTGAATTTGTTTTGCTCAGGCTAAGTCTTAAAAAACATTATATAAAATTCACTATTTTTTTATCCATAATATTGAATGTGTTAAAATTATTCAACTTTTTAACCAGAAAAATCTCAAGTTGATGTTAAAAATTGCTGCAAAACATTGTTGATTTATTTAAGATGGAATGATCTATTATGATTTATTTAAGATGGAATGATCTATTATGACATGTCTTTTAATTGGTATTTAGATATGTTGTATTTATTTTCAATTTTTCTAGTTGAATTGTTCACCTATATTGCATATGATCCATTATTGTACATAATTAGATTGCAATAAAATATGTATTTTATATGAATACAATTGTATGAAAATTAAGATGTAGTAGAGTGACTGGCCCTGTATTATTTATTATAGATTTGGTAAGGGTATCATAGATTCATGGGGATGAAGCATTAGACCCTTGCACTAGCCCTGTGTCCAACTACTGACTGACAGTGAGATTTGACTTCTGTCCCTGTTTATGTTTTTTAGCCATTGTCTGTCTAGACTGTGGCTGGCCATGTATAGATGGTGTGTGTGGGTGATCGCTGTCTTTATAGACTACTGCTGCTTGCTGGTTATGGGGTTTGCAAAAAGTAGTATGCTTTTTGTGTGTCTTCTATTCTATAAATTTTTCTTTGTTGAATTATGTGTAATATCCCAACATATTTGTACTTATTTTGTATTTTAAATTATTAACATTTTCATAATTTATTTTTTTTTTAGAATTCTTTACTTTTTTTATCTAGTTGCGACGTTTTCTGATTGATATGTTTTTCATCATTATATATTATCATTTTCTAAAAATATACCACATATAAATGTTAATAAATGTTAGTATAATTGTTTATTTTCTTCATAAAACTAATTACTTTATTACTTTTCCTTTTTTCAGATTTTCCAGTTTTATCAAGCAAGATCAAGTTATTTGACTTTTGTCAACATATTTGAATGGGTGACTTACACACTGACGATTTTATTTGTAATTGGACTCAACAAATGTCAATGGGATCGGAATTACATTGAGGTAAAAGTTATCTCCCTCTACCACCGAAACATTATAAAAATGAAGAGAGTAATCTCCCTTGTTTTGAAAAGCGTAAATCTTGTTCAGGCCGCACTTTCCGGGATCAAAGTGTAATATCTGTTTTTCTTCTTCTTAAAAGAAGAAAGCCTGGTCTTGAGGATTAAAACTCTGCAGCAGCATCTTTCTCATTAAACTAAAAGAGGAAATTTTTTTTTGACAACAGTCGCTAAGACTGGGCAATTTTTGTCCTTGTGTCATATTTTGTCACTCTGGGGTGGTGAATAAATACCAACAAATGTAAATTTTCTTTTACTACTGAGCTTTAAACTCACCCCTGACTTCAAGTGGAACTTATAAATACGATCCATCACTAATGATGGATGAAAAATGGTCTGTTCCCTGTACCACTCAAGTAAGTACCTGAATCTTTGTGCTATCCTCTACCTTTAGAAGAGCCAGATCAAGCTGAAAATGGAGTACTGTTGTCATATTTGAACAAGAGCTGCTGAGTTCTCACTTTTGAGTCTCAATAGAGTACAAAAGTGTCTGCGTGCTTGTGGGTAACAAATTATTTTCCACCCAGCAGGTCCTTCACTCTATTGTTACTTCCTGGAAAGTGCTCGGATGAACTGCATTACTTGCTTCCACCAGTTCTAACCGTCACGGTTAGGATCTGTCATAACACTTACATAGTAGCAAATGATCCTCATTCCCTCTGTATTCCATTGGTGATAAGTCAGTTTCTTTTCACGAACCACTTCTCTGTGGAACCAACTCCCAAGAGGATGTTTCACAGATCACTACAGTCTTAACCTGTTCAATTCTATTCCCCACCTATCTGCATAAACTGTGCCTCTTTCTATATAACCCTCTACCTCGAGTGGCCCCCAGGCCTTGTACAGCATAAACCTCACAGTAAAAAATAAAAACAACTTTCTAGAAATTATTGCTGGTTGAATATTTTTATGCGAAAAAATGTAGAGAACATTTAAAATAAATCTGAATAATTTAACTTCCTTTGTTTATTTGCATAACTTTGTTGATATTTTCTCTGAAATTCCAACGCTGATCTGAAATTTTGCATGTGTGATTACTATCTGTGATTTACTATTTAACATTTTCAAAACTATTAATAATTAATAGTATAAACTAGTAATTAATAGTATAAAAACTTTAATCCATTATCCCCTTTTTTGATAAACATAATTATTTAAAATTTCTTCTGTCTATATTTCTGATATGAGGTATTGTAATTATTTACATTGTCCTCATCTTTATTGTCATATTCACAATGTTTCAGCTGTTGTATGCTCTGGCCTTCTTCAGGAGATATATCTTGGAATTTTGAACCACAAACTATATAAAAGCATTTGAAATAATCCAGTGACTTGACCCAAAGAGTTGTGAGTTCAATACCTGGCCACAGCAGAGGTGAACCAAAAATTGAAGAGTTGAGTTACTAAAGGGAAGTAATTGAAACAGATATCTAGAAAAGGCAATCTACTCCGGTGGATGAAATAAAGTGTTCAGTTCAAAATTCCAACGTATATTACCTGGAGAAGGCTAGAGTGTAAAACAGCCAAAATGTGAATATGACAACAATGATGAGGACAACAGTCCAAATAATGTAAACACTTTAAATTTTTTGCTTGTTCATCAAATATTGATTATATACAAACATGTCTTTCAAAGCTACCTTATAAATTTTTAAAAATTAATTCATAGATAATTTATTTTTTCTTAATGATATTTTTATTATATTTATAGCAATGGCAGTGGAATCTTGGGTCAATTGCTATTTTTTTTGCGTGGATGGATTTGGTGTTGTTTGTTCAGAAAGTCCCTCGTTTTGGCATCTACGTTGTCATGATTACTGACATCCTTTACACCTTCATACAGTTTGCTATTGTTTTTCTGTTAATCATCGTTGCATTTGCATTTGGATTTTATGCTCTTCTCCAATCAAGGGTAAGTCTTCTTTATTCTTCAAAATTTAGAATTATCAAAATGATCTTGCCTGAGCTTCTTCAAACAAAGGTGTTTCTTTACCTATGCTAGAAACAATGTTTATGCTCTCAGTTTGACAAATTTCAAAATCTGTTTCTGTGCAAATATAATGCATTGGGAACATATAACAGAGCACCTGTCTGACTTTTACCAGCCAGATAAATCAATCCCCATTTTGTGTTTTACTTCTTGTTTGCATTTGTGCAGATATCTACAAAGACTGCAAAAGACTTGTGGCATATTCACAAGAAATGTTAGATGAAATCAACAGCAAGAAATGAAGAAAGAAATCTGGTTCTCAAAAATTTGGTGTTTATTTCAATGAGGTTCTCTGGTAGGACTTAGTATTCTTCCTGGAAGTTGGTAGGTGGTACATTAGTTCCTTTGACATTTCTTACTTCAGCTGACCAACTGCTACCAACATGACTGGCTCCTCTCTTTGTTTGACCCTAACTGGGATTCTACTTATATATAGTACGATGGATAAATTGTTGTCTAAATTATGCAAAAATGAAAACAACACTGACATCTCATTTTAACAGATATATTTACCAAAATTACGCAAAAATATCTAATACGAAAGAGTAAATTTATTCAATAAAATCGCCATTGGCTTCAACCACAGCCACAGACAACTTTGGAATCTCCTGCATCTCTTCTGGATGGTCTCCTTGTTTAAGTTGGTGAATGCTGCCATAATCCTTGCCTTCAGTTCATCTTTGGTGTATGAAGAGTTTTGTTGGTCTCTCGCTAAACTGTGCCCTACACATAATGATCAAAGGGTTTGCAGTTTGGGGAGGTAGGTAGCCAGATGTAAGGGGTGATGTGGTTGCAGAAATTGTCTGATAGCCATGATTGGGTTCTCCTGCTTTTGTGGCATGGTGCAGATTACTGTTACCAGACATAAGGTTTTCCAGCAGCCACCCTCTTGACCCAGGGCAGCACTACCTCCTCAAGGCACTTGATGTAGGCCTCTGTGTTGAGGCTGAATCCCTGTGGGAAGATGAATGGAGGCATAATGTTGCCATCACTAGTGATCACTCCAAACACCTTTGTAATCACCATTAAACTTATCTAACTCTTTCTGAATCCTCAACACTGTCCTCATATTGACACCCAAACTCTCTAAAATGTTTGTATTGGAGTATCTGGTGTGAATACCAAGCAGTACAGGATGTTGTTTCCAAATTTCTGGCAGAGTGAATTGTGTCATAGTGCTCTTTTTATCACAGATGGTGCCCAACTGACCCTACTATACTGTGCAGTTGACAAAATCAAAAACAACACACATGCACAAAATTAAAAATATAAAATGTCGATAATTTACCCATTGCACCCTGTATAAGGCTGCTAGTGGAAATATCTAGATAAATAGTATTTATTATTTTTGTTGTAAATTCTCAATAACAAAGAAAATGTCTAACAACTCACTTTCATCAGATGTACAGGTTTTATTACAATTCTAATCATTGCTTTTTAAAACAAACATTGCTGAGGAGTGAAGGTAGTTAAAATAATAGTGGTGTCAAGGGAAAAACGTCTTTTTGACAGACTGTTTTTTTGCAGTTACTAACGTCCAAGTTTGTTGACTTTTTCTTCTAGACATTAAGCAAAAAACAACCAACTCTTCTAAACCTGATAACATCATTTAAGACCCACTTGACTTTCTGTGTGTTCAGCCAGTCATATGGGGGAACCTATTATGCCACAACAAAACCATACTACATAACAAAGGGAAAGAATAATCTAGTTGTTGTTCAAAATCCTAAAGTCAGAACTTCTAAAAAGAAATATAAATAAGGTTGGCCACCTAAAAGTCAGTAAATGTGTACACTTCAGAAGTATTTTTCTTTGGCTATCAGTAACTTCAAAGGAACTATCTTCAGTCAGTACCTACATTTACTGACAAGCTTACACCTAAGGACACAGCTGGAAGTTCAACAAACTCCTCTCTCTCTATGTATGTAAATCTTCTCTCTCTTTCATATTTATACACAGACCTTTGTAGGAATCAAAAAAAGCAATAAAATAAATAAAAATGTAAAGTAAACAGGAATATGCAGCAGAACTGAATTATTTTCTTCAGACTTAGTCATGTTACTAGTGTTGTGTGGTATTAGTATAAAAAGCAGTGTGCTTTCAAAAATCTTCTTCTTTTTCCATTTTTCTGTTCCCTGTGTAGTTGCTGCTCAGCATGTAAGTAATTTTGCCACAGTCGCCAATAGGTTAGATGTTTTCCCCTATCTCAACATATTGCTGTATTTTATAACAGACTTATCTGTACGAAGAAACTTCTTTCTTGTGAATTCATTTAAGAAAACATGACTTTCTGATCCACCAGAGAGAGAGAGAGAGAGAGACTTTGTATTTTTGCACCAAAACTCTCTTCCTAGTGCATTATGTGAATTTAAAAAAAGCAGGGGACGCAACTCCTGCTTCCTATTTATAATTCACTACATATCTATGTATTCATTTTATCTATGTAATTTTTAAATTTTTGTATGCATTATCATTGTGAAATTCATATTAAATATTCTTTATTGTTCAAAGCTTGGGATGAATATCAAATGAAACATTGTAAAAAGTCTAAATTCAGTGTTATTGTTTTTTGTTTTTCAGGTGGACAAAATGGGTACACAAGTTCCATTTGTAAGTTCATCACATCTTTATATTTTTTGGAAAAATAAAATACCTTATTTTTCTATTATCTTTCACATTTCTGGAACAAATGATCCTGGAAAATTTGTGTTGTACTTGTATTTATGCATGTGGATAGTTTATATTGAAATGTTATTTTTGTAAATGATTTAATATTTATATAATATTAAATATTCTTTTCAAAATAATATAGTAATATGTTTATATTTCATATTTTCTTTCTTAAAAAGTTATATAATTTCTTTCCTGTTACTTATCTAAAGAAGAATTAAATAATGTATAAGAACTATTTGAAAGGTTTTCTGTTTTTCTTGTTTAAAAATGTAATTTACTTGTGGATAATAAATGATTCCTATTTATATTGTTTTTCAGGCTCCATTTGTACATATTGGAAAATCATTGGTTAAAACTTCTGTTATGCTTATTGGAGAATTTGAATTTACAGACATTTTCCATGATGATTACTTAAAACCTCAATTTGAATATATGACTTATATAATGTTTGTTATATTCCTTGTATTTGGATCAATCATCATTATGAACTTACTGGTAAGTAACTTATAATGCTAGTCTACATATGTGTCTATAGTTTATTTTTGTTTCACTTATTCCTTCAGACTCTTTGAGTAGAAGAGGGCCACACCTATATTCACTGGTGCAGTTTCAGTAGCAAGTAAATTGTAACAAGGTCAGGGTGTTAGACCTACATCCAAGATGAACTGAATTCCATGACTAAAAGCCTCTAACTGCCCTGATATTTTTCTATAGCTGAGAAAGGGGAGCAGAGAATCCCCAATTTGAATTATTTGAAAGAGGAGTCCTAGTACTTTTATTTGAAAGGGAAGTCCTGGTATTTTTCTTTGAAAGGGGATTCCTATTACTTTTGTTTGAAAGTGGGGGGTGTCTTAGTACATTTGTTTGAAAGGTGAGTCTTGGCACTTTTGTTTGAAAGAGGATTGCTATTACTTTTGTTTGAAAGGGGAGTCTTGGTACTTTTGTTTGAAAGGGGAGTCTTGGTACTTTTGTTTGAAAGGGGAGTCTTGGTACTTTTGTTTGAAAGGTGAGTCCTGGCACTTTTGTTTGAAAGGCGAGTCTTGGTACTTTTGTTTGAAAGGGGAGTCTTGGCACTTTTATTTGAAAGAGGATTGCTATTACTTTTGTTTGAAAGGGGAGTTTTAGTACTTTTGTTTGAATGGGGAGTGTTGGTACTTTTGTTTGAAAGGTGAGTCCTGGCACTTTTGTTTGAAAAGGGATTGTTATTACTTTTGTTTGAAAGGGGAGTTTTGGTACTTTTGACAGGTCATTTGTTCATTGTTAGAGAGGTATTGATAGTTGAAAGTTACTGATTTGTGCTTTAGTCCATTGTGAAATATATTCTCTCTCCTTGTCTATGTCTCTTTATGCTTGTACATACATGCAGTAAGCCCACCAGGAGTGTTGGACATATCAGCTTTCATTAAAATACCTAACTCGGAGGAGAAAAATCTGATGTAACACCTGCTGTTTGACAGCTTTTGATGATGCTCACTAGTTCTTATTTTTAGGTACATGCCATCAGAGAAGGAGATTAACACAATGCAATGTCTTCGTCCACTTTAAGATTTCATGCACAAGTATTGCTTGATATTGTAAGATGTTTTCTTTTTTTGCATTCTGAATGGCTGGCTGTAGCTGAAAAGAGCAACCATAGCCTTCAGGTATAAAAAGCCATTTTTATTTAAAGCATTGTTAAGTCTTACAATGATATCTCACAATGTTTGGCAATGATATGCCAGCCATGCTGCATATATATATAATTATATTTAATATAGAGAATTGTAATATATTACACACACACACACACACACACACATATATATATATATATATATATATATATATATATATATATATATATATATATATATATATATATATATATAATTGTTTAAACCCCAAGCAAGGTGGCAATGCCATTAGGCCACATGGGATTACATGGAGTGAAAGTGAAAGAGAATAATGAGAATGGGGAGGATTGAGGAAAGGAGAAAAAAGGAATAGGGTTCAGTAAGACAAAAGATGGTGAATGACATTGTATTTAAATTTTTGAAGATTGTGGTTATCAGGGGATCAAGGAATCAGAAGAGACTTCCACAGGTGGGAAGTGTGAGAAAAAAACTGTTAGAGTAGAAGTGGTGGTTGCATCTAGCTAGTTCAACAATAAAATGTTAAGACCTAGTTACCAATCTAATAGCATGCTTAAATTCATGTAGTCAGGGCACCAGAAAAAAAAAAAAGAAAAACTTGTCCAAACAGTTGCCATGAAAATATTTGTATAACAGGCAGATGGAAACCACATCATGTTGGTGAGAAAATGGCTGGAGATAAATTGTTTTGTCAGGATTGTTGTATCTATTTAATAATTTGGGTCTCAGTCAGTTTTAATCTTAGCAGGTTTATATATATGACTGTCTTAGTCTTCCTCTATCTATTTTGTACTCTACATGTTTTCCTATTGTCAGTTTCTGAGCTCATTTTATCAAATTAATGGTTTAAAGCAATACATTTTGACCAATATAATCAAACATTTGTATTTTACTTGTACAGGTTGGTCTTGCTGTAGATGACATTAAGGGTGTACAAATACAAGCCGCTCTCAAACGTAGGGCCATGGAGGTGAGTTTAACTAACTTTTTAAATGGATAATAGTCATTACAAATTTGGAAATTAAACCTTGTTTTTCTCTCCTATGAGTGAAGATGATGTACACTACAGTACAAAAGTTTGAAGCAGCCCCCAGCATTAGTATGGGGTGAACTTGACAGAAGAGTGAAAAAAATGAAAAAGAGCTCTTAGAGTCATTGAAAAAAGAATGGAATCAATTATCAAACTTATACTTTGAGAAACTTTTGTGACGAATGCTGAAAATTTGTGGTGCAGTAAGCAAGGCTAAAGGAGGATATTTTGACAAGAGCAAAATTTAATCATAAAATGCTTTTTTTCTTTTTGTCATAAAAAATTTCTAATAAAAAAGCGTGTCTCACTTTTTTAATCCAATATAATAATTTTGTCCTTTTTAAAGTACAAAACAACTATTTTTGGGGTCAATTTAAAAAATTATGAGGGGTGATTTCAAACTTTTGAACTGTAGTGTATATGTTTATATGTGAGATTAGTATATATGTGTCAATATGTATATCCATGTTTATACAAATATAGCTGTTATAGAGACATTCATTTATATATATATATATATATATATATATATATATATATATATATATATAGTAATTAGTAAGAGGATTTGATAATTATATCTAATTTATTCATTGAGTCTGATAGAAACCTCAACAGAATGCAGAAAGCACTGGATGGCCGTTTCGTCCTATATTTGGGACTCATCAGCAGTGCGCATCCACTACCGAGAATTGAAACCCTGACAGTTAAGTTGTCAAGCGAACATCATACCAACTGTTCCAAATGGGCCTCGGTAACGAAGAGATTCCAAATCAGACTCAACTTAGTGCCGCTCACTCACATATTCCGTGGCGGAACTCAACGGAGTTCTCTGTAACCATAGGACTGTGCCCCCTGGAGCCACGACTACTCTCACCAAGCCGCTACCAACTAGAGCATTAGAAGCCGGTTCAAGCGATGATAAACACTGCTGATGAGTCCCAAATATAGGACGAAATGGCCGTCTAGTGCTTTCTGCATTCTGTTGAGGTTTCTAGCAGACTCGATGAATTAATTAAATATATATATATATATAAAAGTGGACATTGAGGTCAACACCCAGAAGCAACAGTCCGTTTCAGTGATGCATTATGAGTAGGTCTCTTGTATTATTCTAATAGTTATTCAAAACAACCATTATGACCCACCCAAATAAATGTTAATTTTTTTCTATAGGTACATCACTATAAAATTACTTGATGAATATAGCATGACACCATTTTTATATAAATTTTTTAACTATGCAGTAATTTTAAAAATTTATCAAAATATTTTTATTAATTTAATTTCTTATTGAATTTTAGATATTTTGGCTTTAAATTTACTATGGTTACTGCTCTTATTTTCTGATAATGTCATGTATGGATGTCCATATTTACAAAAATCATCATGTTTATGCATACACAAATAATTTAAAATAATTTTTAAAATACTGGTGGGGGGGTCACTGAATTATTGTAAGGTTTTCCATTTATGATTAGTAAATATAGTTTTTACTTAATAACAATATGGTAACTAACCCACATTAATACATAATTTTAAAAGATTAAAATCTTTATTAATTATTTCAATTAAAATCTTTAAAAATGAAAATAATTCTTGTAAAAATTCATTATTCATTGAAGAAAGTTTTTCCTTAAGAGAACAGTGTCTATAATTCATAATATTTCTTAGTTTTTTCGTATTTTTTTCTATTTTTCATTTTTTATTATCATATATCTTCTTTTTCTTTTTCTCTGTCTTTTTATCTTTCCCCTTTTTATTCTGTTATATCTGTCTGTCTGTCTGTATATATATATATATATATATATATATATATATATATATATATATATACATATACAAATAAAGAGCAAGAACAGTCAGATTAATAATTTACAATTTTTTAGCATTTATTTTTTAAAAAGTGCTCAATACAAAGTAGAGCATAATATTATTATTTAAAAATATTTTTTCTTCATGACACGGAAAAAGCTAAAGTAGAAAAGTTTTTCTACTTTAGCTTGGATCTGTCTTTGGATTTGTTGAATAGGACAACACCCATAAAAAAATTTTGAAATCTGTTTCCCCCTCCTACTTAAACTCTTCAATATAATACCACTTTGCTTTCAAAAGTAAATAATTTTTTCTGATGTTACTGAATATCACTTAAAAGTGGAACAATAGTTTTATGTTCTGAAACATAGAAATTTCTATATCGCGATGAAAAAATATTTTAAAATAATACACATTATATATATATATATATATATATATATATATATATATATATATATATATATATATAAAGGTGTTCCAATAACTTGGACTGATTTTAAATATGAATTAAGTTTAAAATCAGTCCAAGTTATACCCTTTATATAGTTAATAAATAGAGATGGAAAGCCATCTTATCACACATTTCATTCTGAATGAACATCTTCAAACAAAAGACAATAAATATCTGCTTCAGTTTATATCAAAATGCTAAAGATACGAAATACTACAGTTAATTTTGCATGTAACTCTATCAATCTATTCACCAATGGAAAATAAAATTGCAGCAGCCTGATGATGTGGTTATATTTAAATCTAGTGGTAATATTATGGGTTTACAGTAAGTAATCAAGCTTGAAACAGTTTTTCCCCATATTTATATTTACATACACTTTATCCCTGACATTGTGCACTTTTACACATGCATATCAGTCAGTTATGTGGCATGCATGATACATGCTTAGGCGATTTTGATACATGACAGATGAGGCAGATTTTTTACTGCAGTAGGTTGCCATTTCTTTCTGCGGTAGACCAGTTGCCATCCAAGTCTATAGAACCCAGTCTATCCTACTATTTATCCATAGCTGGTGGGAAGAGAAGAGGATTTATACCTTTCCTAAGGGTATTAGCATGTAAGTGAATGTAATGCATATAGCATTCCTTAAAACTATATTTTCATTATATATATATATATATATATATATATATATATATATATATATATATATATATATATATATATATATATATATATATAAAAAAATATACAAAAAACAAACAAAAACCCTAATATGTAATTATGCTGTTTTAATGTTAATATAATGTCAACGTCAGGCGTTTTGGTCTAGTAGACCATCTTCAGGACATATTCATAAAACATAATTAACATTAGACTATATTTAATTCAACATGAAAAGACGAATGACATAATTAAGACTAATCAAAACATGTCCTGAAGATGGTCTACTAGATCAAAATTTTGTTGACAATTATATTAACATTAAAACAGCATAATTGCATATTAGGATTTTTGCTTGTTTTTTTTTTATATTTTTCTTCATACTATCGGATCTATATCCATATACTTGCTTACATATATATGCGAGAGAGAGAGAGAATTAATATAAGTAAAAGTTTGTCACTTAGCTGATTGATGTTACCTTCAGCATCCCGATTCTAGAGTTTCATCAGCAGACCTGTCCATCCACTGTCCTTCAGGGGGGTATCAGCAATTGACAGTTTATATTTCTTGATTTTTCTCTTTTATGCATTTATCATTAATGTAAGTTTTTTTCATATTATGTTTATGTGTGCATTTGCATGCATGCTGTCATGCACCTGTTATGAGTTCGAGCACGTGTGCCCATCTGTGCTGATATGCGTATGTGTATGGTGTCGTGATCATTTGTCCTTTTCTTTTTTTTCCACTTTACACTCATTCCTCAGCTTTCTCTTTTTTTTCTTTTCCTCTTTTCTTTCACTTGTAATCAATTATTTCTGGTATATTCTCTAGACATAAAGCTGTTTTTAATTTTTGAGCATTTTAGTCTTTTGTACTAGGAAAGTTGTATTTTGTTTTTTATATAAATAATTGATATTAATGCTTAAATGATAAATATATTTATATATACAGGAATACCTGAACAAAATAAACTACAAAATCTCCACAAATATTCTTAAATCCCTATAATTGATAACAGAAGGCATTGGTTTATACCAACGGCTTCCCATATTTAATACTTCTCATTTTCACTCTCGCATGGTCATGTGTGATGTCACGAGCTGTGATGCAATTTTTGCTTCCGGGTCTTGTATACATGAGTTTGTTATTGCTTGGAAATCTTTCATGCAACAAAAACAGACTCTCATTATTGTTTTGTCTGTGTATTGTTTAATATATTGAAATGTAATTGTCATCTTTGATAATGGCTTATGTAAGCTGAAAGCTTAGATAGGATTAAAAAACATGTATCAATATGGTGATTTTCTTTTCATCTTTTAATGATAATGTTATTAAGCTTATCAGACAATATGAAAGGAATTTACTTAAAATAGACAAATCTTGTCTATATTATTTAATGAAACATGCATCAATATATATATATATATATATATATATATATATATATATAGGAATCCCTTGATTAATGTGCATTTGATTCATGAATTTTTGATTAGTGCACTAACGTTTTTTATACCAAAATTTGATTAGTACATGCATTATACTCAATTAGTGTGGTAAGACATTCTTCAGTTTAACCATAGTAATTGAAAATTGATTTTTTTATAGTTACTTTTGAATTAAAAATTTTCTAAAATTTAAAAATGTAAAATGGGTAACTATTTTGTTTGTCAATTTTGTTTATATTCAATTAATGCATATTTTTAATTTATACATTAGCTGCACTAATCGAGGGATTCATATTTGAAGATTTGAAAAACTTTTATCAGAATATCTACTATCCACTATGTATTGGTGGCCAGATAAAAATCATCATTCTTTTCTTGAGATTTTCTTCAGTGATATTTTCTTGCCAGAATCTATTTTATATATTTACAAGTCTACCATTTGTTTATGTTTTGAATATTGATTTCTCATCAGATCTGGTTCTCCTGTTGTATATTGAGAGATTCCTGATAAAATCTGAAGAAGAATCTGCAGTGTTATTTGTCCTCACCTGGCATCTCAGCTTCAGTCACTTTCCCACCACCATAACATAGCTTCCCTGTGCCTTTTCTACAAATACTTTTTTCTATAAATACTTTCAGGTAATTGTTCTGATGAAATTTCCTCTATGGTACCTAGACTTTATGAATTTGAGTGCAGTTCTAGATTGGTGGCAAGGTCTCATTATTTTACAGTTGAAATGGCTAGATTTAGCCCTAAGTTCTATGCTAACAGTTTCTTCTCTCATACTTCTCACTTGTGGAACTCTTTTCTGGCTTCTTGCTTCCTAGTCGACTTTGATCTTCAAAAATTTAAATGCAATGTCAATTGTTACCTTCGGTCTTCTTAATTCTTGTTCTTTTATTGTTTTCTCTCCTGAATAGTGTTTTGTTTCTCATATTCTCTCACACAAAATAACCCCTTGTGTATTGGTGACTTTGTTGCCTTGCTTGGTGTGAAATGATTAACAAAAAGGCTGCAATTTTATTTTCCATTATTATGTGTGCGTAATCTGGTGAAATAGATTATTGGTTACAAAGAATAGCCACTTAGTAGGACTAATTGGACAAGAACAAAATCAATTTTTAAAAAATCTGACAGCTCTTTTTATGAAATTCTGTTTAAAAGGAATGCTTGCTTATCCAAGTTAAAATTAAGTTCATTTTATAATGTTTATACATTGCTACATTATAATGGCTACACATGTTTGAGTAGACATGCTTTTATTTTTTTTCAATAGTGAAATTAATGTTTATTGGCCTAGAGATTGAAAGTCTTAACCTTTATCACTCTGCATTGACTTCATTTGCTGCACAAAAAGTTTATCCTGCAACTAAAGGTGACTCTGATCCCTGAACAATAGTGTGTTTGAATTTCATAGTTGTGTTGTCATATCCTGCTATGGCAACAGAAAACAACTTAAAGTGAAATTAACAGTAAGGATACTGTAATTGAGAGGCCTTGAAAAAGAATGCAGTAGAAAGGGAAGCAATATTAGTAATGCAGAGTGCTAAAGGTTAATAATGAAAATGTCTCCTGACAAGAATTGAACTGTCTTTTTTAATTTAGGTTGGAAGATATTAATTTTGCTGTTTTTTTTTTTTAAAGGACATGTAATCAAACTTGTGTACCCATTAAATATAATATTTATAAGAAATTATGTTGGATTAAAAAATCCATTAATTGTTTGAAAATTATTCTGTGTTGGGTGGGAGGATATATATAGAAAAACTATCTGTATATATGCTCATTTTCTTTTTTAGGTTGATTTGGTTTTAGATGTTGAACGGTTCTTACCATTTGGAATACATCGAAAGAAAATTGTGAAATATCAAAAGATTTACCCAAATGCTGATCGTCAGTTTTCATTCTTAAAATACTTCAAAGTGAAAAATGTCAAGGCTCGAGAAATTGAAAAAATTTTAAATCCAGAATTAGTAAGTACCAGGAATGTTTCAATTTTCATCTTATAACTTTTCACCCATCAGTTGATATTCACAGTGTAGCCAAAACAAATTTGGCTTTAGATGTTGAACGACTGTTAGCATTAGAATAATAATTTATAATAGTACGCATAGTACGCAAAACAAATTTGGTTTTAGATGGTGAACAGATCTTAGCATTTACAATACATAGAATGAATATGCCGAAATTAGCGTTGTAGCCAAAACAACATTGGTTCCTAGCATCTAGAATACATCTAAAGGAAATGACTATATTATCATTGTAGCCAAAACAAATTTAGTTTTAGATGTTGAACAGTGTAATTTAACTGCATCCATGAAAAATCTGTATACAACATGCAAATTACAAATTGGCGATACAAAAATCAAATAAATACAACAATTTAAATATCTGGTAAGTGTTTTATCAGAGGATGGAATGTGTGACACTGAAATCCAAAGGCACATTGGAGTACGGAAAGATGCCTCTCAAAAGTTAAGCAGAGTAGTAAGAAACAAAAGTCTTTTTTGTTAAAAATGCAGAAAAGAATACTGAACTGATGTAATATCAGTCTTCTTATGTCAGTGAATGCTGGACAATCTCCTCACAGATGAAGAAGAGACTTGCAGCTGGTTCTACAGAAGACATTGAGAATAACATGGACACAACATATGAGCAACGGTAAAGTTTTAGTGAAAATTGAAACAAAAGTTGCACTTGTACTTAACATCAGGAAGAGATAGTTGAAATTCCTAGGGTACATAATGAGGAAAGAAGGCCTGGAAAATTTGATATTCACAGGACAGATTGAAGGCAAGAGAGACAGAGAAAAACAATGCATAACCTACATAGTGAGTTTAAGTAAATGGATAGCAAAACAAGTTTTAGGAAAGATAACAAATAGACAAAATTCATTAAGATCTACAAGGGAGAGGAAATTGTGGAGAGTCATGATTGCCTATGTACTGAAAAGACACAGCATATGAAGAAGAATATTTTGTAATGGATGTGTATATAGTGTTGCTGTTACTGACATAAAAAGTGCATGAAACATGTAGGAATTTAAATAAAAGTTAATGAATTCAGAAGAAATGCCATAAAATAAATATTTTTCTTAAATCTCCTGAAATTCAAATAAATACAACAATTTAATGGATTTTCAGATTTTGGTAATTTTATAACATTTATGTTTTTGAACAAAAAAATTTTTTTAAAAAATTTAATTCTTTATAAAGTGATAAATAAATCTTTATAAAATGGTGAATAATAAATATTGTATTGTACATGGTTCACATATTTTTTATAATCTTGTAAATAAACATTGCCGGGGGAGTTAAAATTGTATATAGTAAACAAAGTATCTGGGCCAGATGAAATTGTAATGGAAATGTTGACAGCCTTAGATGAATTCGGCATAGACAAGATCACCAAAATAACAAATGAAATCTACAACAGTGAGTATATACCAGAAGATCTCAGCGGATCTATCTTCATAGCCATGCCTATGAAACCAGGTGCAAACGAATGCAAACTCCACCGAATGATAAGCTTAATGAGCCACGTGACAAAACTCATCATCCGTATTCTGATGAATGAAGCGCACAGCAGAATTGGGTCAGAAATAGGGCAAGAACAATATGGGTTTGTTAAAGACACTGGAACAAGGAACATGATATTAATGCTCAGAATGCTATGAGAAAAAGGGATACAAATGCAGAATGATGTGCGCCTATGTTTCATAGACTATGCAAAGGCCTTCGACAAAGTACACCACAAGGATCTGCTGGAACTGCTCAGCAACCTTGATATATTTGGGAAAGATATCAGAATAATCAAGAACCTATACTGGCAGCAAACAGCATGCATGCGCATAGACAATGAGTTCAGCGAATATAGAAAACAGAAAGGGGCATAAGGCAAGGATGCGTCTTCTTACTTGACCTGTTCAACCTATACAGTAAGGCAATTCTGAGAGAATTGGAAACCCTGCTGGGATTTAGCATTGGTGGCAACAATCTTAACAACATAAGATATGCAGATGATACAGTACTGATAGCCGACACAGAAAAGAAATTACAAAATCTCCTACAGAAGGTAGCAACAGAGGGTGTGAAGAAAGAACTAAGCATAAACTACAAGAAGACAGAATGCATAGTCATCAGTAAAAGGATGAGCCTGAAATACGATTTGCAGGTCAGGAACACTAGAATCAAGCAGATGCAGAAGTTTAAATATCTGGGAAACATTTTGACAGAGGATGGTAAGTGCAACACTGAGATCCATAGACATATTGGGATGGCACAAAGGATGCATTCCAAAAGCTGGGTAGAGTATTGTGAGACAGGAGGATTTCTTTGGTAACAAAGAAAAGAATACTCAGCCGTTACATGACATCTGTTCTTCTTTATGGCAGCGAATGTTGGACGATTTACTCAAAGATGAAGAAGAGACTCGAGGTGATGGCTATGCGGTTCTGCAGAAGGATGCTAGGGATATGGACTGAGCGTGTGAGCAATGATGAAGTTTTAGAGAGGATGTAAACAAGGAGGAGGCTTATACTTAACATCAGGAAGAGGCAGCTGAAATTTCTGGGACATAATGTGGAAGGAGTGTCTAGAGAATCTGATACTCACGGGTTGAATAAAGGGAAAGAGAGACAAAGGAAGACAAAGCATGACATATGTAGCAGGTTTGAGCAAGTGGATGACAGAATCCATGATATAATAACACCTTGTTTTAAGGATAGAATAGAATAGTTGGAAGAAAAGGAATGACAAACATGCTTTGTTCTCAGAGAGTTTTATACCACTAAGTATAATTATTATACACATATTTACATTTGTCCCATGCAGGGAAATTATAACACATGTCTAAAAAACATACAATGATAAAATAGAATGAAAAGAGAGTGTCTTGTAATAATTCTCAATGGGAATTGGAACTTCTGGAGATTCTTCTGTGTTTCTGGAGAAGCTATATTTTGGATTTCAGATTCGAGTGAGCCAGATTTATCTGCTATGTCACTAGTGAGGACATATTCCACAAACAAGAAAATGGTGAGTCATGGGCTTTTCCAAATTGAGGATTTTAAGCTGGAGATAGTTTCTATATCTAATGAAGATATATTTCCATAGGGAAATGGTACCATGGGCTTGTAAGCTGCACCACATGGCAGCTGGTTGGCATGGGCAGAAGCCACTGCTTGGTTTGAGTCCTGGAAACTGATGGACTGGTCACTTTTGTCACTATGAAGTCATCACATGAGCCATGTGACTTCATCTCAACAAAAGAGAAATAATCACAATAAATGTCAGTTTCAGGTTATATCATAATGTTAAAGATACAGAAATATTACAGTTAATTTTTGTTTTGCTGATACAAATGTTAAACATTGCCAAACTTTTAATATCTATTAAAGGCATTTAGACACCCAGTGAGCCATTCTTTGATTATGAACTTCTGATTTGTGAAGATGTATGATAGATTTACATGTTTCTCATTATTCTTCTGTGTTATTAAGATACAAATTGATGTTTATCACATTCTTGAATTGTAAAGTTGCTTCATCGTATTTTTATAGATCTTAACCTTTAGCACTCTGCATTATTAATATTGCTTCCCTTTCTACAACATTCTTTTTCAAGGCCTCTCAATTGTAGTATCCTTATTGTTAATTTCACTCATAGTTGTTTTCTGTTGCCATAGCAGGATATAGCTACACAACTATGAAATTCAAACAAATTCAAATTTAGGGATCAGAGTCACTGCCAGTGGCTGGATAAACCTACCTTTTCTACAGCAAACATATTCACAGAGTGATAAAGGTTAATATTAAATATTATTAAGTCATTTCATTGATTGTTTTTTTTTTTTTTTTTCCAAAAATTGAACCATTTAAGCTAAATTCCATGTCATCTTTTCCTTGATTTTCAGGATGAAATAAAAAGCATTAAAAAAAAGCAAAAAGATCTGAAACGCATGATGTATGAGTTGACGGATACTGTTAATGAAATGAGGACTCAAAATCGAATAATGCAAAGTATGGTACAGGCAATCATCAAGAGTCAAGGGATAGCTTGGGAAGAAGAGGATTACCAAGATTCTGACTGATTGCAAAATGTCATGTTCTTTTATTTTGTATGTCTTTGAGATTAGTAAAATTTATTTTTATTTTCCTGTTTACCATATTAGGTATTACATATGTCCCATGATAGTTGTTACATTTAGTATCTGTTTAGTGTCTTTTGTACTGAAATACTTGTTATATTTGTAAATAGAAGATGAACAATGAAAATGAAAATAGACTACTTATTAAATGCTTGGATTAATTAATTTTGAGATTAAATTAATTAATTTTGAGAAGCGTTTAAATAATTTAATCAGTTTTTGGCTGCTGTGGATCAGTGTCAAGTTGGACTAAATATAGTGGCAAACAAAATTCATGCATGTCAATGATGAATCATCATTAATCATTACTTGTAGAGGTGAAAGGAAATGGAATAAATTTCAATAGGGTAATATTTTCATGTGTTTCATATTTGGCTAATAAATGATTAACAAGAAATAAAGTTGTATGCATGCAAAGACAGCTGAAAAGGAAGGAGACATTAAAATCTAGCTATCAGGAATTTTAGGTGTATCTGTGTATATGTATATATATGTGTGTATGTCATGGGCACATGGACGAATGGTTAGAGTGTTCACTTTCTGAACATGAGACCAAGGTTTGAATCTCACCATAGTTGATTTGTCTGGCAGGAGACTTCCTGATGTTATCAGAATGGATCGAGGTTGATACCAGCATGTGCCACCTTTGGAAAGTTCCAGAAAACCATATCACGGATTGACCCAAGCCATATGAGTGAAATTAGGTAGACGGAACTCTTGAGGGTCGTCAATAGCTGTGCTAGCACAAAACCACAAGTCATCGTAGCCGAGAGCTTGAGCATGCTGGCCTTGTTCAGATTGTTGACAATGGTAGATAACACACTCTCTCCGAGAAATTGAAACTAAGGTCTGCTCAGCATAATCGCAGTATAAACCATTGGTGGATTCTGTGGGTGTTGAGCAAATACAAATGTGCCTGAGTGAGCGTCTGCAATAGGGATTGGCTAGCCGCTCTAGTAGACAGGTATCCTTGAATATGAATGGCTAACTCGCCTCAATAATTTTCACCGTAGAAAACTTTGCCGTATAGGATTTTTGCCATAAGACAATAAAGTTTTCGGTGAATGTTCTGGATATGCTTAGCAACATCTTAGAAAACCTGGCGAACCACATGGAATTATAAATCACATCAGAGTTGCATTTAAAGTTATTTTGTAACTGATTTTTATTTCAAAGATCCTCTTTGTTCTTATGTCAAATTTTCTAGGAATTTCAAGTATCATCGTCATATCAGGTTTTGTTTTACATGTTCTTAAATTTCCATCCATGGTTGATATTATTTGCTAAAATATATAAACACAAGTGCAATTTTGATAATTTTAATTTTTGCTTACCTTTGAACACTTTGCTACAAGAGACATCATGTTTTTAAAAAAAATCCAATAAACTTACTTCTCTCAGGTTTAAATGTAAAAACACAATTTTGTCACTAGGATTTTATTATTACTGTAAATATTATTCTAGAGGCTATCCATATTTGAGTTGGTGCCTAGTTTTAGAATGATCAAAGGTGGATACAGGTGTTCAAAAGGAAACATTTATTTAAGTTTCTCAAATAAACAGGCTGGTAAATATTATTCATACTCATCCCCAGATATCCCTAGACATGGGCAGTGGAATGAGAACTGTCTACACCTGTACATTAAATAAAGGGTTTCAGTTAAGAATTTCTTGTAGGTTACCAAGACTGATATAAACCTGATGAAGGCCGGAGAGCATCATGGTTGAAATGTGACAACAATAAAGATGAGGACAATTGTCCAAATATAAATAAATAGAAATTCACACATAATAAAATAAAAATAATAAAAGCCCTGAGTATCTACTCAAACATTGCTATCCATTAAAATAACATTTACAGTAATAAAAAATAATGTTGGATTAAAAATAAAGATTCATTAATTTCTTAGAAATAACTAAGGCATGTAAACATAATCTTTAATAAGTGTGGCCAATAATCAAAAGAAAAATATGCAAATGTAATGCTTATCATGGGACAGAGTTTGTAATCTATTTGTGATATTATCAAAAAGTTTGAAGTGCAGTAGGTGTAAAACGGTTTCCTGAAATGAAAAAGAAATTGTTAGAAAAATGTGGTTTTATATTTTCTGGTGATGTAATTTGAAAAGATGTGTGAAGTGAACTAGTTCAAACTTTTTCATACAACATTTTATATTTTCTAATATTTATCTGTATTTTTCTATGTATCATGTTATTTAATATGTTTTATATTATGAATATACCTTGTTTAAAACATTTTTGACTTATTTGAAGCAATAGAAAACAAAAGTTTGAAAAAAACAAACCTAGATGAAATTTAATAAGAGTTGTTCTCAGTATTGAATTCAAATCATTCTTTTATTTTTTGTTGTATCTTTTTGACGTTTTACAGCAGTATGCTTGTATGACTGATTCCAAGTTTTATATTTACTCTCTGCTGTTTTATGTAATAGAAAAATCATGTCATTGTGTTGGAGCAATGCAATATTCACTTTTCAATTTTGGTAGAGTTCAAAAACTTTTATGCAGTCTCTTGAGGTGAGGGGTGGGGAAGGATGACTTACTCTTTGCTCTACAACCTCTTTCCTCAAGACACAACATTGCAAACCTGTCACTACTACCTTGCAATTTTGTGGCTTATAGCCAGATCATGTTGAAACCCCCACTTCCTGTATGATCACCAAATTTGAGCAACATCGAGCCTGGTCAGTATCTAGAAGAGTGACTGCTAGGTGCTGTAAACTTAGATATGCGGGTAGTATGATGGATAATGGCACAGAATTGTTAACTGGAGAACAGAGTTCCAATTCCAGTTGGGTTCATTATATTTACTTATATGCAAATAGCCATGGGAAAGATATAAATCCACCTTTAATCCTCCCAGCTATGGGTTAATTAGAAAGACTTGTATAACTGAATCATTATTATCTCAAAAAAAAAAAAAAATTTTTTTTTACAATCTAAATATATTTTCTGGCTTTAAATAACCTGCAAAAGGTTGATAAATCATAAAAATCAATGAATGAATCAATGATTATTTCCTTCAGTTTTTCCCACCACCTGGTGTGGTGCTTATTTGTTATGTCATACTTATTATTTTTCAAATAATTTTCTCCATGGCATAATTATATTTTCCAGTTTATTAAATTTATACTATTATATACCAAATACAAATACATGCTTAAATTATTTTCTTCAATTTCTAACCCTGGCACAGTACAGAATTAGTAAAGCATGCTTATGATTTTTCAAAATATTTCCTGACACTTCCAGACTTGCATGCTTATAAAACTTATATACAAATATGGAATTGTTAATCAAAGAGCCACGTTTTAATTCCAGTTTGGTTTGTTATATTCACTTACATGCAAATATCCTTGGGAAAGTTATGAATCCACATCTTCTTCTCCCAGGTATGGGTTAATTAGTAAAACTTGTATCACTAAATCATTATTATCTAAAAAAAATTCTTATAATCTAAAAGATATTAATCTGGCCTTAAACAACCTGCAAAGGATTGATAAGCCGTAGAAAATGAATCAATCTCTTGCTATTTCTGTAGTAAATATTCAAATGAGCTTCATTCTTTACATAAGTAGCAGACTTTTACAGCTAGGATGTGCCATGTCATTCCCATGGAGTTGAATAATCCTCATTTCCTATGTGTTTCAAATATAAAAAGCCTTTTTTCAAGAACTGCCACTTTGTAGAATGAACTCTCACATAGGTGCCTCCCTGAACATTTCATTTTTGACTTTTTCAGGTCAAAGGTCAGTTGTTATTTATCCTCTTCATAATCTTAGCTGCTTACTACCTCCTTTTACATTCATATCACACACCTCATTCATCATTACCATATCGACCGTAATGTCTCCCTTGAAAAATATCAAATACCTTTCTTTTATATAATGACACAGTGCTTAGCAAGCACACTGTTGTTCAAACTTCACTATGTGGCCAAACACTGTGCTCTTTTTATACCAAGTTTATAAATATTACTATATAATAAATGTGAAGTTGATGTGTGTTTTCTCCTCATGGTGACAAGTTTTGAACCTGGGGTTTCAAATGTTCATTTTTAAGGCAGATTATCATTTGACCTTCTGCTAGATTAAACTAAGCTGAGAAAATATTCATAACTCCAAAATTAAATGTTTTAACTAAAAGCTATGTCCATAATATAAGAAATGGTACAAAAAATATCAACTTGTGTATTTGATTTAAAAAGAACGTACCTTTTTTGTTTCCTTTTTTTGTTTCATTTTTTAAGCCCTTGAGATTAACTTACATGATTTATACTTTGAAACATTTTTTTTATCAGCCATTCTAAGTGTTGATTCACTTTTGGTAAGTAACATTTAAATGACACTCCAATGCAGATCAATTTTGTTTTCATTCAACTGACCATTGTTTAACATAAATGATTTGTGTTGTAGAGAAATTTACATCTAAAGCTTTGACTTCAGATTTGAAAGATTGAAAATTCTATTACAGTTTTTCTTTTCACAAAAGTAATGAATTAGGTTTAGATTAATGCTTATAGGTAATAACATGTATAATAAAAAATAATTAAAAGTACCTGAGAAGAAGCATATTCTAACTGTTGTGTCCTTAGGGGCCAGAAATAAAGACAAAAAGGGAGGAATTGAGTTAAACAAATATATTGACAGAAACATTATTACAAACATATACAAACAAAAGTTTTACAGCAAGAATGTTCGGTCCAACTGTCAGAGATGACTGCTGGACACTTCTCTCTCCAAAAGGCAGTACCTGCTCCTATTTATAGCTGGGAGATTCCATGTGTGTGTGGGTAAATTACCATAACACTAAGTTGTTTCTGCTTCCTTCATTTGTTATATTTGGTGTCAGTTTTTTGCTGACAAACAAGTGTTTTGGTGGAAATGTAAACATTGTCATGACACAATTTCAAGTAAGAGATT